TCCCCTCCCGTCTCCAACACAGGGGACAGGCCTGCACTCGGCAGGGAGGTGCTCAGTCCCCTCCCGTCTCCAGCACAGACGACAGGCCTGCACTCAGCAAATGGGGAGCAGATGCATCAACACTGAAGGAGACACACAGGCTGCTGAGCACAGCGCCTCCAGAGGGTGTCCTGGGGCCAGACACGAAGAAACGCTCGCTCATGACCTGTTGATGGACCCTCAAAGGCAAGAAAGTACCACCTTGTGAACCGAGTGTAGGCAGAAATGGCACAGAATCAAACCAACTTTGCCCACAATGGCAGGAACTAGGCCTCAGGACAGTCTGAGCAGTGAGACACAGCGACCGGTTCCTGAGGTCAAAGTGGGAGCAACACACATTGTTAAAGCCGGAGACACGTGACAGAAGTGTCATGGTCTGATAGAGCAGCTGCATCTGTGGTCAAAGCCCTCGCGAAGCCCGGAGCACTCCAACCACCCAATGCCCTGGGCATCACATTCTAGAACTTGGGAGAACTGCCTCCTCCTCTGCAAACTCAGAGCTGCTGAGTCCAACAGCTTCACGAGGCCCCAGCGCCCACCCACTCCTAAAGCAGAACCTGCTCTGACCATGACCATGTGCTCATGCCCTGCTGTTCCTGTCAGGACCAAATGCCTCAAAGGTCCTGGCTTCAATTTGATGGCTTTTCCCACAACTCTTCTTAATCTGGACACCATTTAAGAGAGTGGGTGTGAACAGTTCAGTAAAGCAAGGTAACCAAACAGCTTCAGGTTCAGCTATGTTTATCAGGGTGGGGAAACAGCAAGAGGTGGGAGGTCCAGGTATTAGGATACAGGTAGGCTCGAGTGGGTAGAGGTGGAGGGAGGGTAGAACACACACACAAACCCACTGTTGACGCTACTTGTTAATCAAGACCCAAATCACTACCCTCATCAGGACCAAAAATACCATGAACCATCACTCCCTGAGCACATGTTGGTGTTCCACACTGCTTCTCTCACCCTCACACCGACCTTGCCACACCAGTGCTCTTAAATTCCCAGGTTATAGGCAAGAAAAGTGAGGCTTCGAATTACCGTAGCATCGTCAGGATTGAAATCAGACTGGTTTCAGCACACGAGAAGCTATCCACGGTGGAGAGCCAGGCTGTGTGCACGTGCTGCATGCAACCACACCTGCATGGGGGAAGCCAGTCTGGCCAGCTCTGAAGGTCCCTGGCCTGTGGTTCCCAGTTCCATGTTGTCGTCCTGAGAATGAAGTTTCTCCAACATACCTGAAACGATGGCATCATTCAGCAATGGTGAGGGATGAGGGGACAACTCAAGTTTGCCCTGAAAACGTTTTTTTTCTCCAGTTAGTCCACTACATAACCTTGGCACGAGGGGGCTATTTTGGGCTACCTTTGATATTTGCCAAATTCAATAATATAACTATAGAAAAAATGTAACAAAAATAACAGTATGTAAAAAACTTTAGTGGCACATTTACTAGTTTGTGTTCATAACTGGAGCCTGAGAACACAGCCCAAGTGGGTCCTTAGTATTCCAGAATGATACCCAGCCAACATTTAACAGCAGCTGCCTTTGAGGATGGTGGGGAAGTGCTATCTAGAGGCTTAAGCTTGACCTTGACCTGTTAACGTTTAATTTTTTTAAAGGAACATGTCGGTGGATTTCCGGTACAAAGACTAAGTTTGAAGATTCAAAGGAAACGCATCTAAAGTTTCCTGGTGTGGGAACAATGCTGACTTAAACATTTCAACTTTTCTGAATATTATAAATGTTTATGTTGTAATCGTGGGAAGACAAATAAACTTTAAAATATAGTCTTAAAATGAATAGAAAACCCCTAGGTTCTAAAGGGGAACATCTGGCTAAAGAGGTTATTAACTGTACTTCATTAATAGGAATAACCACCCATATCTCTACAGAGTAATGTAACTCAGAACCACAAGCAAAATGTATGAGCTCAATGGATGAAGAATGCTTGTGTGCCTGGTCTTTCAAAGGGTAGCTCTCTTGCACATACACACACTCACACAACTTAAACTGTGCTATATGCAAAAATAAGACAAGACATTATTTACAGCAGTATTGGTGATCTGAAAATTTTAATTTCTTTTAACCTTATATTTAAAAACAATTTATTTTACAATCTCTTATGCAGATATTCACAAATTCAAACCACTCACTGGGTTGACATTAGCTGTCAATCCACACAGGCTTTTTACTGATATTCAGCGAGTCTCGGCTCTTACACCTGACATATCAGTGAGTGCACCGACAGCCAGGTGCACACAGTACTTTCGGGCCTGCTGCATGGACAGGATTCTTATAATTTTCAAATAAATGCCATTTCTTAAAATATTAATTCCCGTGAAGAGATCAGTGAAAACACAACCCATCCAGGTCAAGTCTGCAAGTGGTACTTTCTTGAGAGGCAGCCTTGATTTTAATTTCCTGAGGCTTACAAAGAACAGGTGCCCCATGGGCACAGTGTGCCCTCTTCCCGCATCAGCTTTTGTTTGGCCCCCATGAGCACCCCAGGCTTCCCTTGTGGCTCAGCTGGTAAAGAATCCACCTGCAATGCAGAAGACCTGGGTTTGATCCCTGGGTTGGGAAGATCCCCTGGAGAAGGAAAAGGTTACACACTCCAGTATTCTGGCCTGGAGAATTCCATGGACTATTGGGGTTGCCAAGAGTTGGACACAACTGAACGACTTTCATAAGCACCTCACATCCCTGGGACAGGCAGGGACCTGACCACAAACTGGGACCCAACTTCAAATGCAGATTCAAGAGTGAGGCCAGCACCTAATCTCTGGGCACTCCCAGAGATTTGGACGTCATCTCTGAGGTCCTCTGCCCAACTTCTAAGCCTTTAAACTCGACACTGGAATGAAGAGCAAATAAAAGGTCTTTTTCAAAAGCTTCTGTTCCTTTTCTGGATCATGACACTGGCTCTAACCTGCAACAGCTGAGAATGAAGACTGAATTTTCTCCGGCATAAGCTGCTGCAAAGTGATCCGCACAAATGTTCTGTGACTTAAAACAGATCATTTTTAAATGTCTGGCATTTCAGATACTTAAGATCTTCTTTGTTATGTGAGACTAGGCTTTTACTAGGGCTTCCACTGTGGTTCAAAGTGTAAAGAATCTGCCTGCAATGCACGAGACCCAGGTTCTTTTAAGTTTCTCACCTTCTTGACAAGGTTCCTAGGAAAGTCATCCCAAACCAATGACTTCTGCCTGCGTTTAGGTTTATGTAAACTAAATCTGGGTAGCTTTGTATTATGGAGCCAAAAGGGAGAATGGCACTGTGGCAGTCCACTAGGCACTGTCACAAAGCATGGCAGTCCCAGCTCTTGAACAACAGACGCTCACTGTCTCATAGCTCTGGCAGCCAGAAGTCCCTGATCAAGGGATGGGCAGGGCTTGTTTCTGAAGGCCTCTCTCCGTGTCTTCACATGGTCTTCTCTTGGCCTGTATCCCAATCTCTTCTCGTAAGAACAACAGGGATGTTGGATGAGGGCCCACCTGAAAGGCCTCATTTTAACTTCTGAGAGACCCTGTCTCCTCACAGTCTCATTCTGAGGCACTGCGGTTAGAACTTCAATGAGCACATGAATCCAGGGGATACAGTTCAGCCCAGAACCGCTCGAGTTTGACTTTCTTCACACCCCTTCACGTAAATATCTGTAGTAGGCTTAACATAAGTATTGAGAAGAGGATTTAAAAACCAGAAGATAGAGCCATGTCACTTGCACAGAACTGATGTGAAGGGAAAGTCCATGTCTGAGGAGGCACCACACCTGTCAGGGTGTGTGGAGACTGGCAAAGCCTCTGGCAGCAGCTTCAGGTGGAGAACGGTGTTAAGACAGTCAAGTCCAGATTCCAGGGAAGTTAACTTCTGCAACAAAAGCCAGCGTCTCCCTTAATGGCTGTGACTCCAGCACTTTGTGGATGGACATGCCAAAGATGAGCAGAGTCCTCGCCCAGATCCAAACCTGCCTTCCCTACATCCCCCTGGCCCCCAAAACAGCCTCTTGAGGCCCTGGTCCCCCGCCATTGCATTAGAGGAACCTGGGCGGCAGGTGTGGACACAGCCTCTGCATCCTTCTGCAGCTCAGTGAACCCAGCCCTGGGCCCAGGCGCCTGCACTCTAACAAGTACCTACCTACCAGCCCCAAGAGCTGTAAGCTGTCATCTCTGCACCCATGAGAAAGGCCATGCTTGTCCAAGCTGCAAAGCTGAGCACACCTTTATCTCAAACAAGTGCAGTCTAGCACAGGCAGGCGGATACTCTGTACACACTCATGGTCCATTATCCCCACACCCTCCGGTAGGTCCCTAGAAGCCCCACACATCATACTGCTAAAAATCACAAGAAAGATCCCCAGGGAACCTGCCTGATCTAATAGTTTGTCCCAAACAACAGATTCCCTCTCTATGAGTAAAATCAGCACCTGCTGACGGGGGATCACACTGCCAACAATGACAATGATTCTCATTCACAAGGAAGACTATACTAATGCCTTCAAGCATAAAGATTAATTACGAATGTCAGAGAGCCTGATCTGATTGCGTCAGCCACCTCAAAGAGGAAAGCAAGCAACAATCCTCCTGGAAATTCATACCACCTGTCTGAGCAAGACCTCAAGACTCTGGAGAGGCAACCATGTGACCAGAGAGCCCCACTCACGTGGGGAGATGCCTGGGGTTCGTCTTTTCCGGCTGTATCCTTCCCTGAGGTCCAGTCCACTGGTTTTAAGACAACTGGGTTCTCTGGTCTGAAGGCCACAAGTTGGGAGACTTTTGCTTGTAATCTTTACAGTTACAAGAATTCATCCTTGATGAACCCAAGCGTAACATGCCCTGTACAAAATTTATTTTCTCTCCTGGTGTGAAGGCCTTTCTGCAGGCTGCATGTATGTACTGGCTCCTACGGGAGATGAAGTCCTTTCGCTTTGGCAGGAGGATAGAGCATGGCCATGCTGTGTTAGTTATTGGCTCTTTTTCCTGTGTGTCCTCATGTGTGCAGCAATTGAACCAGCTATTTCTGCATTCCTCTTGTTCTGGCCAAAATAATCTAGAAATTCACCATCTGGTCCAATCAAGTACATTATGATTGTATGATCCACCTGCAGAGAAAAGGGGAAAAGGAAGGAAGACAAAAAGTTCACCAAAATAAGCTCCTTACTGTACTGAATAAATATAGCAGGTAAGATGCTAACCTCTGCAGCATTTCTATTATTTATGGAATGGGCCTAAGTCTATTACGGTCAATTCACAACCACAAATTATCTAAAATCTTTGTTTCAGAAATTTGCCCTGACTATTGCTTTGACACATCAAGCAAGAACTTGGAATTCTTTCAGTTCAATCCTTAACACACTCATCTACAGAATTCTAAGGGAAGAACACACTTCTAAGAAATGGCTGCTGCTGGCCTTCACAAAGCAGCCAAAGCTGTGCATCACCGATGCCCGCTTGGAAAGAGTCCATGTTTACGAGTAAAATATTTTATCTGACCCCTTAACCACATCATAAAAGAGATATCACATGGGGTTAAAAGTGTTGGTGAGAAATTACTTATTAAGTTCTTGGGTATGTTCTTTTATGTTTTTGGAAGAACTGGTTATCATTCATCACATCCTAAATTCTACTTACCATGCTTTATGAGAAAAAACCCAGAACACTAACCACTAAACACATAATATATATAAATTCCAACATAGTATTTAGCTCTGCTATTAGTGATTCAAAAGGAAACATGAAAATGACTGTTCTCTTCCCCTGGGAAGTGTTTACATTACACTGAACAATCTCACCTAAAGCGAATTCCTTGGGAGCCATCAACACTATACTTCCCAGGAGTCCCCTTAAATCCATTATCCACTTTCCTGGAAAAGTTCTTAGAGTGTTCCTAGCTCGACCTAAAGTCCAAACCAGCCATCAATGTTCTGAGTCATATGCTTCACAAATCCAAGGTTAAATGAGCAGAAGAATTCGCCCTTGGAATCCTTGGAATTTATTCCAGGCTTGATTGCTATTCGGCAAGACAAAGACAGGAATGTGATCACACATACCAGACTGGAGACACCCCAAATATACCCGGACACACAAGCTATGTCTGTGAAGCTGTCACAGACACTTTTACACACACAAGAGAGCAAATGGAAAGAGTCACTAGCCTACTCACATCGGAAAGAATGCAGACCCGGGGGCTCAGACAGCTGCTGCTCTCAGGGGCCTGGGGATAACTCACCTCGGGAGGACAGGGACCTGCATTTCTCCAAACAGCTGACAGTCAGAATGAGGCCTCCAGGCATCTCCTGAAGCCCTACGCCACAGCTCACATCTCTTCTTTTTTCACCCCATTTCTTCCTTATTCCTACTCTTTCTATTCTGTTCTCTCTCCTCCTTAAGAAACCAGAATTTCAGTGTGTGTTTGGCTTAATTTTATGAGTATCCCTCATATAAACTACATTCGAACACAGTAAAAATACTGTCCCACCCAAACTGTCAGACTTGTCAGTGGCCACGTCTCAGTGTTCACTGAGGTTGTGGGCAGAGCAAATTAGCATGTTTCTACTGTAAAGTTCGAGTAGTTTTTAGTGCAGAGAAAGGACACTACCATCCACAGACAAGCACTTCCACATGTCATCCTAACCCAGGAGACAGGTATTATCTCCTCTGCAAGCGATAAAGAGGCTCCAGGGGGCAAGTGACATAATTAGTAAGTGCCAGAGCAAGCTTAGAACCAGATCTACCCCATTCCAAACTCCATAATCTTTGGACTGTCCCACCACCGTCTCTACAGGGATGCTGGGGAGCAACCACGCAGTGTTTCTAACATGCAAGTTTGCACACATACATACATGCTCCTTCAGACTCCCTAAGTTCTCCTCGGGGAGCACCACAGCCACCTGGTCCTGCTGGGTTCTCCAGACAATCCTTTTGCATTTATCAGTGTGCCACTACCCACCTACTTCTTTTTATGCAGAAGTGACAACACATTATGGGGCTTCCCTGGTGGCTTAGTGGTAAAGAACCCACCTGCCAATGCAGGAGATGCAGGTTTAATCACTGGGTTGGGAAGAGCCCCTGGAGAAGGAAACGGCAACTTACTCCAGTATTCCTGACTGGGAAAGCCTATGGACAGAGGAGCCTGGCGGGCTATAGTCCTTGGGGTTGCAAAGAGTCAGACACAACCGAGTAACCACTACCACATTATACTTGTTTTCCCACTTGGCAATATACTGGATGTTGTTCTGTATCAGCACATGTATAGAAGCCTTTTAAAAAATGGTTGCTTGGTTTTCAGTCTTTTACAAACAATGCTGTAGGTTATATCTGTAAGGCAAATTCCAAAAAATAGGGTCTCTAATCTAAAAAGTATTTAAATGCTTTAAATGCTGATGATAATACAAATAGCCTTCTGAAGAGGGCGTATCAGTTGACTCCCATCAACAAGGCATGGAAGTGCCAGTGGGTCCAATTTCACTCACTGTAGTATTTTCTTTCCGTAAATAAGATCATGACAATATATTTGACCTTTCCGATCCAACAGGTGAAAGATGACATCACATTATACAACTCACACTTCTTTTATTAAGACTGAACATCTCAGGTTTGAAAGCCATGTGTATTGTTTTTCAAAAGTATTTTCTAACTAACACTTAGAAAATAATACAACATTACACATATCACACGATGGCTTGCACACTTAGCTGTCAGGAATGTGTAGCATGTTCAGGTTATGCACACTATGGGTCTGAGGATGCCACGAGCATTCAAAGCCAGAAGCTCCTCTCTGTTGCTACTGAGATTAAGAAAATCTCATTCCTTTACCTCTCCATCTTAAAGTACTCCCTCACTCCCTGCATGTTCTTAAATCTTAAATTCCCCTACCATCTCCTCAAGGGACAGAATCACACTAGTATGAAAAAAAACCAAGAAGCTGGACAATGTCTCCTCCTACTGGTTGATTTTGCAAGTGTATAGCAGTGAACTTGCTGATTCTTATCAAAACGTTGCATTCTATTGTAGTAGATCAGTATTTATTTCTCAAAATGGGGTCTCAGATGAGTTCTAGAGGGTTTAAGAAATCTCTACAAGATTTAAATATTCACATTTTAAAGATTAAAAGATTAATACCCATATTCTGGATTATCTGCATGGCTATCTTAGGGTTCAAATCTCAGTACCTGCGTTTGGTTTATGTTTATGAGCTCACTGGCACCTTGCCTTTCATGGCTGGTTATGGTCAGACTAGAAGAGATGCACTCTTACTAAGTGAAGACCAACCAGCTCAAAGGTTTCAAAGTATTCTTATCTGTCTGTCTGCCTATCTACCGGTCTACTGCACTGATCAACCTATGGGATCTTAGTTCCCCAACCAGGGACTGAACTCTGGCCCCTGCAATGAAACCGTGGAGTACTAACCACTGGACCACCAGGGAATTCCCTCAAGGTATTTTAAATAAAAAACGATGAGGGTCAGTAGACGATAGAGGTGGGTGTCTGACAGCAGTGTGACCCAAATCACATTCCTGTGGTGAGCAGTGCTCTGGGTTCAGCAAAGTAAATCTTAACATTAGCTGAATGATTTAACTGAGTATTTTAGGTTGTTTGGTCTAATCTGTAAAATTTAACTTTAGAATTATGAGCTATAAGCACAAGACTAAGGAGTGTTAACTAGTTGACAACTGTGTGTATGTTTAATTTAATAAAGCTGTTCAACACTGGAAGTCTGACTGACTAGCTCAAATGCTCCCACTATTATCATAAGCTAAGCTCAAAACCAGTCAGTACAACTCTCTTTTACAGAAAGGTAAAGAAGTCTGAAAACCTCTCCTTTCTCCTCGGCTTCTTCTCTGCTCTTATGCTATTAGTGTGACAAAAGGAAACCACAGTAGGTCCTCCTACTTCGCTTAAACTTAGAGTGTAAGAAAAAATGCGGATTTTTCTCTTTTTCTCCCATGAACTCAAGTTTCCCTAGGTCTACAGGCACCAGAACTAAAAATAAGATTACTATGTGGGTTTAAGGCAAAGGGACCAGAAACAGGCCTTTAATTTAGGCCAAAGGCTATGGGGCACCCACATGCTCCAGGTTCAGAGGTGGTGGGGAAATCACAGTGGGCTGCAGAGGTAGCACCGCAGTGAGATGACCCCTCTGCAAACCCTCCTGGAAGCTGGCCATGGTGCTGCTGGCTCACCAGTGATTCAGGGTCCTGACTGTCTTTCTACAAAACCAGTCCTGCAGCTGGAAAGTCTCCTATGATTCATCACTTTGTCGCAACAATATTACAGAGAAAATAGAGCATGACAACTCAGGAAAAATCTTGAAATAATACTAAAATACAATGTAAGCTCTTCATGGGATAGGGAAGTATGTCCATGTTGGGTAGGGGTGGTGCTTACGCTTCACTGAGAAACCACTGACAAGAAGAGGAACAAGGTGACTCAGACTCGTGGGTACTGCTGATGAATGTGAAGACAGCTCTCTAACCTAAGAGCTGCAGAAGAATCACCTAATAGAATTTGTTCTCCATTTTTAAAAAGCATATTAAACACCTAATTATGCAGAGCATAGTAGTTGCAAACGCAACTAAACACAAAATAATGTAAATGTATATAGTTGGTATGAAAAGAAATCTTATAAAAAGTCTAACTGCCTATGGCCTTCTTTTTCTTCTTTTCTCTTGGTTTTCAGAATTCTTACTCACTCAAACCCAAAAATGCAGGTCCCTAAGACCTAACACTGCTTATCAAAAGGAGCATATTTCTTAAGCCTCTTCATTAGGGGGCAGAGAGAACCAATACAGTGTTTATAAACTAAAAATGAGCTTTGCCCAAAATGATTATTTTATACTCTAGTGAATTTAAGATATCCAAGATTTTAATATACTGCTCTACAATTTTATGTGCCATGAGAAAAATGGGCAATTAAAACTATTAGAACAAAAAATATAGATTACTCCTCCTTCAAAAACTATATACACTTTTCTATCCTCTCAAGCATCCCTAATTATTAAGGAATTTGCTATCATCTCAGATTATTTACCATTTTCATTTTGCTTTTAAAGCCAGTTGTCATGGAAAGCTTGCAAATGTCTGAGAGCTGGGAGCCCGCCCAGGTGTTGAAACTGAGCAGTTACTTACTATGTAGTCCTCATCTTCGTCCTTGGGGCCAGGGCTGTAATATACTCTGAATGCTCTGGCTACTTGATCGATCTCTTCTTTTGTGCCAGTCAGGCCAATCAGTTTGGGAGAAAATTCTAAATAAAAAATGAGAAAGACAGTGAAAAAGAAGAGGCAAAAAACCAACCATCCCTACTTGAAAAAACAGTTATAAAACTACTGCTACTTTCTTCCTGTGAGTCCCTAAACAGTTTTTCATGTTTCAAAGAAGAAGAAATTCATCTAAAACAAAGGAAAATGTTCCTCTGTGATATATGTCACATTCACCAAGACAGACCACACTGGAATTAAACCAGAGATCAATAGCAGAAAGATATATGGAAAATCCCCAAAACACATGGAAATTAAACACATTTCTAAATAACACATGGGTGAAAGAAAAAATCTCAAGAGAAATTTAAAAATTAAAATGGAAGCACAACTTATTGAAAGCATATAGTAAAAAAGAAGACATAAAACCTGTAAGTTTCTACCTTAGGATCTAGAAAGAGAGCAAATTAAATCCAAAGTATACACAAGAGAATTAGAGCGGAAATCAATGAAACTTGAAACAGGGTATTAATAGAGAAGAGCAATGAAACCAAAAAAAGTTCTTGATAATGTATGTCAAAGCCTTTCATAACTATCTAATAAAGCTAGAAGCAGTGTATTCTAATTATTTATGTCTTATCTTTTGTTAATTTAGTTGTTTTTAAACACTTCTGTGTAGTTCTGAGATATGCTGAAGTTTAAAGATATTCTTACGAATTAAGCATCAGTTTTCAATTGCATCATACGAGAAAAAACTTGGCTGATTAGTTCATGCCAGGTCAAAATACCTGTGCCTCATTTTCCACCACATAATCTCACAGCATGCATTTGCTATTAAGTTTTTGGAATTTGTATAAGTAAGCTGAAGAAGTCACTTACAACACCTGGATTCATCAGACCACTGAGCTGAGTCCGGCATTTAACAGCAGCACTTTCTTTCAAAGGGTTGAAGAAGCCCATTATCATTCTCTGATCTAATTCATTCTAAATAGGAAAATCTGCTCAAAAACTGAAAAAGCAAGGTGGTTTGTCTTGCTTTCTCACTCTCTGAGTAAATGAAGAGAAGGTAAGTGAAGCCTGAACAAGCTTCACATCCAAACCTTTTAAAACTATTGCTGAAAACTCCCAATAATTTTCTAAATACCGACTTAAATAAATACTTAAAATTCTCCCCAAATGCAACTAGAAATGGTATCATCATCAACCACTGTACTTGCTAATGAAGAATATTACCATAGGGTTTTGGTATTTCCGTTAGCAACTCAAACAAACATCTACTTATTTGGGGATTTGGTTTGGTTGATATGTGATAATAAGCAGAAGTCAGTATGACACATATTTAAATTTGAGATCATTTATTACCCAATGAGTTATACCTGCTTTTAACTGCTTTTAAAAAATAACAATGCTATTGTTCCAATTTCTGACAAAACTGTAAGCTGTGGATATAAATTCTGCTTATATGTAATAAAAATTCTAAAACTTCAATGAGAAAACAAACCTTTGTAACCTTGGGTTAGGCAAGTATTTGTCACAGATGAAACCAAAAAAAAAAATAAATCTATTAATACAAAAGAACAAACTAATAAATGGAACTTCTCCAAAATGGAAGTGTGAAGTGAAAAGTTAAAATCATTCAGTTATGTCTGTGGATATACAGTCCATGGAATTCTCTAGGCTAGCATACTGGAGTGGGTAGCCTTTCCCTTCTCCAGGGGATCTTCCAAACCCAGGTCTCCCACACTGTAGGTGGATTCTTTGCCAGCAGACTCACAAGGGAAGCCCTCCAAAATGGAAACTGCTCTTCAAAATACATGGCTGACATGACAAGCCACAGGCTAAGAGGAAATATCAGCAAATCATGCACCTGATAAAAGACTTTTATCAGGAATATAAATAATAAACAAATACTTAAGTAAAATAAAACAGCTCCATAAAAATGGGAAAAAGATGTAGAAACACTTTACCAAAGACATACAGATGGCAAGTAACAGCATGAAAAGATGATTAATATGAAAAGTTATCAAGGGAAATGCTTTATTAAAACCACAATGAGACACCACTAACACACCTACTGAAGTGGCTAAAATTAAAAAGACTGACCCTACCAAGTGTGGCAAGGATATGGAGGAGCTGGAGCTCTCATATGGTGCCAGTGGGAGTGTAAAAATGCACAACCACTTTGCAAAAAAGTCTGTCAGCTTCTTAAAAAGTTAAGAACTCACCTATTACATGACCTAGCCACTTCACTCCCAGGTATTTACTCAAGGGCAAAGAAAGCACACGTCCACACAAAGACGTGCATGAGTGCTCTCAACAGCTTTATTTGTAAGAGTCAGAGACTGGAAATAACTCCAATGTCCATCAATGGGATACTACTGAACAATAATAATGAATAAACTATTGATACAGACCATAACATGGATGAATCTCAACATAATTATACTGAAGGTGTGTGTCTGTGTGTGCGGGTTAGTCGCTAGGTCATGTGTGACTCTTTGTGACCCCATGGGGTGTAGCCCACTAGGGTCCTCCATCCATGGGATTTTCCAGGCAAGAATACTGGAGTGGGTTGCCATTTCCTTCCTCAGGGATCGAACCCAGGTCTCCTGCATTGTAGGCTGACTCTTTACTGTCTGAGCCAACATGGATGAATCTCAGCATTAATTATACTGAAGGAAGTCATTAAAAAAACAGCACATACTGTATAATCCCATTTACATAAACTTATAAATTTGCAAACTAATGTGAACCGACAGAAAGCAGATAAGTGGTTGCCTGGAGATAGGAGGTAGATGCAAGGGAGAGACATGAATAGCAAGGGCACGTGGAAGCTGATGGGGGTGATGGATACGTTCACTTGGTGTCCTGAGTTCTTACATGTGTCAAAAGGAATACACTATGCTGTACTCTTTTTATATATCAACCATCTCTCATTACACGTTAAATAATAAAATATACAGCAGGTCTTACATAAAACACATTTGAAAATAACTCAAAGCTCTCGAGGATATGTATTAGGTGTCATATAATAAAAATAATTAGAAAACTATTCATTAGTCCTTCTGATTAGTAGCTTAAATCAATTTCACCATAATTAAAATCAAAATTCCTGATTTTTAAGCACTCATGTTCCACACACTAGTAAAACAACAAAACCTGTCTGATCAGATTTTTACTCATTATTATTATTTTTTGCTTCCAGTGTTTAATCACACGAATTTTAACAAGTTATTCTTTTCTTTCCTTTTACATATTCTTTCTTACTTGAATTATATTTAATTGAATTATGGTTGATTTACAATACCGTGTTCTCATCACTTTTAGCTGAAAAAACCTGAATTCAGAGAAATTATCCAAACTCATAAGAAATTAAATTTTCACCCTTAATTCTGCCATAATTTCTAGCCTTTAAAAGTACCTTCTAATAGGCTTTAAGTACATATTCAGATATTTGAACTGAAATTCTTTCTTAAAACAGCTATGTGTTTATCATTTATACTTTAGATTTATAAAATACACACTGAGTTAAAAAATGTGTTTATATTTAGTTATTTTTCTTTAATCTCCCAATGAACATACTCCCAGAATGCATGTTTGCCCTAATTTTACGAAAGGGAGAGTGAGGTTCTGACCTGGAATTAGAAGCAATTCACTTCAGTTCAGTTCAATAGCTCAGTCACGTCTGACTCTTCACAACCCCATGGACTACAGCAAACCAGGCTTTTCTGTTCATCACCAACTCCCAGAGTTTCCTCAAACTCATGTCCATCGAGTTGGTGATGTCATTCAACCATCTCATCCTCTGTTATCCCCTTCTCCTCCTGCCTTCAATCTTTCCCAGCATCAGGGTCTTTTCCAATGAGTCAGCTCTTCACCTCAGGTGGCCAAAGTATTGGAGTTTCAGCTTCTGCATCAGTCTTTCCAAGGAATATTCAGGACTGATTTCCTTTAGGATAGACTAGTTGGATCACCTTGCAGTCCAAGGGACTCTCAAGAGTCTTCTCCAACACCACAGTTCAAAAGCATCAATTCTTTGGCACTCAGCTTTCTTTGTAGTCCAACTCTCACCTCCATACATGACTACTGGAAAAACTATAGCTTTGACTAGATGGACCTTTGTTGGCAAAGTAATGTCTCAGCTTGTTAATATGCAGTTCAGGATGGTCACAGCTTTTCTTCCAAGGAGTAAGCATCTTTTAATTTCATGGCTACAGTCACCATCTGCAGTGATTCTGGAGCCAAAGAAAATAAAGTCTATCACTGTTTCCATTGTTTCCCCATCTATTTGCCATGAAATGATGGGACCGAATGCCATGATCTTAGTTTTCTGAATGTTGAATTTTAAGCCAACTTTTCCACTCTCCTCTTTCATTTCATCGAGAAGCTCCTGATGAATTGCTCAGAAGCAATTATGTCCTCTCAAGGCTCTCTCTTTCCTTTTTGATATATGAAGGCCAAGTTCAACCCTTCCCCTGTGACAAAATAATTTACTTACCAGCCAGAGTCACACTTCTGAGCCACTTTCTATCCATCTGTACAACAAGTGATGGCACCACTCGTCCCTGTATCTCACAAGGCACTGCAAAGTTCGAGTGAGCTGATCTTTCAAAAACTCTAAGCACTAAACAGACGTAAAGTATTGGAAATAAAACATACCTTTTACATAATTGGCGATGGCTTCTTTTGTGTCCCTCTCTGGGTCAATAGTGATGAAAAGCGGAGTTAAATTTGGCAGAGTTGGAATACTGTCTGAAAGAAAGTTCTCATTAGTCATTATTCACATTCTAAGGGAGAAGACAAGTAGCAATTACAGCAGTGTGTAGCACAGCAAGGTGGTCAGGCAACACAGAGGGACAGCTGACACCGATGGGGCAGGGAGTGGAGCCGCAGGAAGTCCAGGGACATACATGTCTGTGGTGTAGTCAGATACACATCCTAGTAAACACCCGCACCACTGCGGACGTGCTGTTACTCAGAATCACATCATGTGGACAGCCTGTCTTCTAGTCCAATCCAGTGTTTGTAGGATTCCCGCCCCCGCCTCCCCCCACAACCATTTCTCAAGTGCCAGGAAACTGCTAATAAGGTCTGAATATCCTGGAACAATTCATTTCCTAGTCTAACCAGCAGTCACTAGGGGAAAGGCAATGGTACGGTCAGTGACGAAAGGCTACAAATGATGAAAGGCTACAAAAAGCAAGGGACACAAAGCAAAGTTAAGGGAGACCCAGACCACACCAACATTTTTAAGCAATCTAATATTTAGCATCAAAACAAACTTCCTCTTTGGTAGAGAATAAGGTCACAGGAATCACAGCCACTAACAAGTCCAACTGAGATTAACTGAGATTATATGTTCTCACAAACTGAATGAGTAATTAAAACCCTCCACCTACCAGTAACAAAAAGCATAGTAACCTTAAGGGCATCAAGTAAACATGTACTTTTTTACAGAATGAGACAGCTTTCTTACCTATTTCATCCACGACTTGAATCATTTTTTCTAGTTCTTCGGGACAGATATCAGGACAATGAGTAAAACCAAAATAAATCAATACCCATTGACCCAGGTAGTCCTTATCAGTTTTGGGTTCACCAGTATGAGTTGTGAGGGAAAATGGGCCCCCAAGTAAAGGCTTTCCAATGCTTCGTTGCCGTTCCTTCTCTAGTTCTTAAAAAAACACAAACAGAAGGAGAGGAAAAAAAAGTCAATCTAACCACAGGTACTCAAATGCCTGATCTATGTTTCACACTATATTAATGACTGAGGGCACAAAATGTGGAAGAAATAGCCTGTTTCCAAGAAGCTTAAAAAAAAATCTTTTAGGAGAAATAACTAAAAAGTAAAATGAAATGAAATGCTATTGTACATAATAGGGACTATAAGAAAAAAAAAAGCAGTAAAAAAAATTTTCTTCCTCTTCCAGAACAATCCAGTCCTTAGCCATTAGGTGTGGCCCTGATGGAGTGGAGGAGGGACACAGCAGAACAGAATGTCTGAGCCCAAGTGGGAGAGGTGGGTGGCCTGGCAGTGATGTTGGAGCCTGAGTATGCAGGAGGGCAGCTGCATGGGGAGAGGACAGCAGAAATGTGACCTTAGTTACATACAGGGGCCTGATCAAATAAGTAAATATATTAAACATAACTGTTAAAACAAATGGAAAAGGAGTTAGAACAATGGAAAGAGACAGTAGAACAAACCTTGAAGTACTGGAAAGAAATGGGAGGTAGCATATGAACTTATGGTTTCAATACATATAGATATAGAAATAAATATAGCTATAAACATGTACATCTCTTTCCTAGCTCTGTCCACCAGAAGGATGCAGGAGCGGACACACCCTAACAGCAATGAACTCATATCCTGACTTCCAAATATCATCATCTTCCACTAAAAGGAAATGAGGCTCTTTAGGGAAATCGCTGGTACCAGGGTTAGGGCAGAGAAAGTACACGATCCTAGAACATTCTACCGCACTAGAATTAAGGATGAACTCAAGAGAATACTGGAGGACTTTTGGAAGGAAATAACAGCCTATTCAAAGGAACTCCCATTGACCAATCTGGGATAATGGCAGCATCAAACTAAAGAGAATAATGGACTTGCAAGAAAATCATAAGTCCACACTGACATAAATACATGAATTGAATTTGATGGGGAACAGAATATTTACATACATAAATGGACATCACAAAACACACAATTACATCTTCAGTAGAGAAAAGTGACAGATACCACCTTAATCAAGTGATCAGACTGAACTTTATTAGTAATGGGACAAATTGAAATCATGTGACACCTGATTAAATGCAACAAGAACACAGCATCCTCAATCTAATCAGGAGAAAATACCAGAAAAACCCAAACTAAGAGACAGTCTACAAAATAACTGGCCTTAAATCTTCCAAGCTGTCAAGGTCATGAAAGTAAGGCAAAGGCTGCAAAACTGTTACAGATTGAAGGAGAACAAGGAGAGAACTAGCTATGAGGTGTAGTTCTACACTGGATCCTTCTGCTGTAAAAGGAGGGCAACAGTTGGGACTTCCCTGGCAGTCCAGAGGTTAAGACTCTGTGCGCTTCCACTGCAGGGAGTGAGGGTTCAAGCCCTAGTGGGGGAATAAAGATCCCATGAGGAACGGCCAAAAAATGTTTACAAAATAAAAGGAGGGTATCATATGCAAAACTTGAACAAGATCTGAAGATTGAACAATAGTAATTTTCTGATTTTGTTGATTGTATTGTGGTCACGTTGAAGAATGTCCTTGTTTGTAGAAAATACACAATACAGTATTTAGAGATGATGAGGCATCATGTCAGCAAATACTCATTTCTAACACTGTTTCATAATACAAGTTTTTACAAAACAAGATTATTAACAGAAGGTGAAAACTGCAACTAAAGTCAAAAGAAGCTTGGGTTTTCTAGAACTATCTCTACTATCACTTTCCTAGTTTGTCAAGTTTGTTTCATTTTGAAACTGAAGCAACTTAAGTGCATATTAAAATATGAAAATCGTAATTAGCAAAACACTACTTGCTACATGAAAGAAATATATCTGTGTATCAATATGGTGCTTATATTCCTAAGGTTCTAAAGCCTACAAATTCTCACTCCCAGATATAAACATTATCCTTTGTATAATGGCATCAAAAGATACTCTCTAAAGAATCAAAACAGAGTTAAGTGATACTTCAAGGATTTCCTAGAAGCTTCTAAAACAAACCTTAAAAGTCCTGAAATATTTACTAAAATATAAAGTTCTTGTAAACATTTCTAAACTCTGAGTGTTAATCCAGAGCAGCTCCTGGCATTCCCACACCAGGTTCTCATTCACTTCCCTCTGGCCTGGCAGAACCTCATCAAGTGAAACCCTTTACTTCTGTGTTTCATTGTCGTGTGCGCCTCAATGGCTGGACTGCACCTTAGTCATCTTTGTACCCTCTAGACTTCTTACCATCTACACCCTAATCTGTCTACAGTAAGTCTTTTCACACAGTTAGACAGTCTGCCCTGAACAGAAAGGACAGTGGAAAAACAGATGAAACCCAAATAAAGTTTGTAGTATGGTGAACAGTCATGGTTATACAAGCTGTTAACATTAAGTGAAGATACAAGAAAGATACGTGGGAATTCTGTCATTTTTACAAATCTACCATAAACAAAATTATTTCAAGATACAAAGCTTAACACCAACACCACCAGGATGCTAGGAAGGGTTACATTAAGAGCTCACTGGATGGCATCTACTTACTCTCCGTCTTTTCTTTCTTGAAGTACTTCATTCCGGCCAATAAAGCTCCTCCAATAGCAAATGTGACGGCTAAAGACTTCCAGGAAACAGGCTACTGGGGCAGAGATTTCAAAATTAAAAATATTAGTAAAGTGCATTTAATTACACTACATTTATTACAGTAGTTTCTAAAATACATACACAGAGGCCTTGATCTTGTTAAACATGCAGGATGTTTCACAGTACCTTGGGATGAAAAAATACAGTTGCAGCTGAGCTCCTAACACAATTACTAAGGCAGGTCTTTTCAAGGGAACGTTCCCTAAATCAATTTCTGTTCCCGTGAAAACAGGACCCAAGGCTCAAGCACCATGACTGTTACCACGTGTGACCAAGATCCCAACTGCTGATTTAAAAATCAGTTAATCACCTGCTTGTGCGGATACTGAGAAATAAACCAAATAAATCTGGGAGGTGAACCGAAATCTGGTTTCCAGAAGTAACAAAGCCAAAGTAGAAAAGACTTAAAAGTGGAACTTCTTGCAAATGGCATCATTATTTCTTTGTACTTTCTTCCAAGTCCCGCGATAAGTAAAATAACTCATTGATCTTCCCCCAGCTCCAATAACTACTTCTCTTACTTATCACTACAGCCTAGTGGCTCCTAAGTTTTTTTGGGGTCCTAGAATCCAGGAAAAACCAAAGGGAAAAAGGCATACCCAGCACCCAACCATGACGCACATTTGCTCAGTATCAGCATACAACACAACAAGCCTCTGAAGGGAGAGTCGAGTGACAAATTATAAAAACGTTAACTCTTTGATTATGGCAAACTTACGGTTGAGACCCCTTGAAAAAACCTGAAACTTATTTTCTTCGCGCAATAGAGAAATAAAATCCAAGTCCGGTATCTTTCTTTAACGCTGAAAGTGAAAGTCGCTCAGTCATGTACGACTCTTTGCGACCCCATGGACTATATAGTCCATGGAATTCTGCAGGCCAGAATACTGGAGTGGGTAGCCTTTCCCTTCTCCAGGGGATCTTCCCAACCCAGGATCGAACCCAGGTCTCCCGCATTGCAGACGGATTCTTTACCAGCTGAGCAACAAGGGAAGCCCCTTTAAAGACCGGGGTACGTGCAAAACGGAGGGGAACGCGGGATGAGATTCTGACTCAGGTGAGCAGGCTGAGTGGAGGTCAACCTGACGCCAGGTAGAGTGATTTCTAAGGTCATGACCAAGTGGTATGGGAAGGGCGCAGGGCTGACTGACAGCCGAGACTAGTAAAGGCAAAGCTCTGGTATGTACTCACCCCGGGCTTCGAGGGGCGCGTGGGGTCTCTGCTGCCCTTCCGTCCCGGTCCCGACGACCCGGGCGGGGGCGGCATTGCAGTGCTGAGGGGGCGGCTCCCCAGGCAGCAGGCAGCGAGCCCCGAGGCCCGCCATGCCCCCTCCGGCCTCGCGCAGAGCCGCCCCAACAAGACCCTCACGGTCCCCTTCCCTGGGCCCCAAACCCCGAATCCGTGAGGAAAGAAACTCCAAAGTTGGCGGCCTGGAAGCCGCATTACCCGGCCGGGCGCGAGCGACAGCCCCGCCATGAGCCCGAGAGACCACGCCTCCTTTGACCCGCCCCTCGACTTCCGGCGCCGTTTCCCCCTCCTCCGGAAGTGAGGGAGAGCCGCTCTTTCCGCTGGGCTCGATGGTGACGCGGTAGCCCATCCGGTAGCCAGGGAGCATTTCGCCGAGGAGCCGGCGCTCGGTAGGTGGTTCCTCGCGGCCGGAGGCGGGGCGGACCGGGCTGGGCGGGGGTTTCGCGAGCCGGGCCGACCGGGTAGACGGCCGGGCTCGCGGGATGGGGCAGGTGCGGGAGAAGGGGGCAGCCTCCGGGGCTGGGCTCTGTGGCGGGTCCTGGGCCGTGAGGCCTGAGTACAGCTCGGGGACCCCAGGCTTCGGCGACTGCAGCAGCTGCTCCTCCCCCGGCGCCCCCAGCCTTGGAAAAGAGAAAACGGCGCTGGGAGACGGGCGGGACCGGGCAGCCCCCGTCCCCACCCTGTCGGGCGCCCTCGGCCAGCCCAGACAGGAGGCCGGTCGTTGACCGCTTTGCACCTATTGCACTTGAAATACTGTTTGACTTTAAAAAGAAAAAAAATTGATTAAGATATTTGAGTAGTGCAGGGTGACAAGGACTAGTCAAGTATGACTTATATTCCCAAGTTACAAGGGATCGAACTACAAATAACGGCACTGTACGGAATAGTGTTTGTTCTGTGTTGTATCCCAGCCCTGGACTTGGTCCCTCTGGGCTCCGCGATTGATACAAGCCTATATTTATTTAAGCCCACTACTAATGAGGGGTGTCTTCCATGGTAGCTCAGACGGTAAAGAATCTGTCAGCTATGCAGGTGACCGGGGTTGGATCCCTGTGTCGGGAAGATCCCCTGGAGATCCCCAGTATTCTTGCCTGGAGAATTCAATGGACAGAGGAGCCTGGTGGGCTACAATCCATGGGGTCACAAAGAGTCAGACATGACTGAGCGACTGACACTAATGAGGGGGGAGCACTCATAGGTTTATTTTTCATTCCTTGCGAAAATTTAACTCGCGTCAATTCTGTCTTGCCTTTGCTTCAACATCTGCTGTCTTAGTCTTACCCTTCTCCATCTCTGAGGTGGATTTGCAAACTATAGGAAAAAAAAAAAAAAGACAGGAGAAACCGGCCTTCTTACTTCCTTAACTTTGGATCCCACTCCTACAGGGGATTTTTTTTTCCCCTGGGGTTTCTACTGAGCAAAAGCATCTGGCAAAGGTGACCCTGGGACATGGTATTTTCTATGAACTGACATCTTTAGCTAGTGTGTTCCTCTGCTTGCTAACCAGGAAGTTGGTCGTCTGCTATTACCCATGTTTCTTGATTCCAGAATTATGCTAGAATTCTCTAGAATATCTGCTGGAAGTAAATATTTGCTTAGCACGTCAAGTCATTTTTAATTGAACAAATTTTTCTGTCTTGAACTTGCCTATGGTTAAGGTTCCTCCCACACCCCATGTCTCTGTTTCCCCAGGGAGAAGTTACTCCTCCAATCAACAAAAAGACATGAAAGTTCCTTGCTTATTCAGGCAGTGAGCATATAAAATGCTGTTCACCTCTTTGCTCAGTTGTAGGTTAACTGATCAGACAGCCATCAGATAGATTAAAATTGAATTCAATGTTTTTTCAGCTGGTCTGTTAACTTTTATTTGTAGAGTGATTCTTCTAATGGCTTGTTCCTGTGTTTGTTTACTAAAGTGTTTTTATACAACTTCTTCATATTAAATTTACAATGTTAAATAAAATAGTAACTTCTAAAACAGTTCCTGACTGAAAGTAGGTGTCCTGAGCTTTTGATAGAATTATTTGGTGTCTGTGGAAGAAGGGCATGTGTGTGTGTTTAAAATTAGTGTATATTTATTAAAAATTACAAATTATACCAAACTTGAATTTGACTTCACAGGAACTTGAATGCCTGTTCATTAGTATGTTAATACCCTTTTGTTAATTGCTGCTCTTCTGCAGAATAGAGGTTATCTATTTTACAGGTGAGGAAGCAGAAGCATTTTGAGGATTTGATAATTTGGACTTAACCCATCAGACTTTAAAGCCCATGCACGTTTCTCTACCTAGCTACCTAGTGGATTGAGTATTAAGTTTAATATTCATCTTGGCATTTTCTTCAGTCCAGTAGGAAATTAAGACATTTATAACATAGTTACCTTTTTCATCTTCTTTATTTAGAAAGCTATTTGGAGGTTATGGATTATAAGCCTGAACCTGAACCCCTCAGTGAGAGCTCAGAACTTCTCTTCTCCTTTGGAGTGATAGCAGATATTCAATATGCTGATTTGGAAGATGGCTATAATTTCCAGGGAAACAGACGGAGGTACTACAGACACAGTCTTCTTCACTTACAGGGTGCTATCGAACACTGGAATAAAGAAAGCAGTCGGCCCCGTTGTGTACTTCAGCTTGGAGACATCATTGACGGATACAATGCGCAGTACAAAGCATCAGAAAAGTCACTGGAGCGCGTCATGAACACATTCCAAATGCTAAAAGTCCCTGTTCATCACACGTGGGGAAACCATGAATTCTATAATTTCAGCAGAGACTATTTAACAAACTCCAAACTTAACACAAAGTTTCTGGAAGACCAGATTGCCCACCATCCTGAGACTGTGCCCTCGGAGGATTATTACGCGTATCATTTTGTGCCATTCCCTAAATTCCGCTTCATTTTACTCGATGCTTATGACATGAGTGTTTTGGGCGTGGATCAGTCTTCTCCAAAATACCAGCAGTGTCTGAAGATACTGAGGGAGCACAACCCAAATACGGAACTGAATAGTCCTCAAGGTGAATTATTCCTTTGAGCTGAGAATCTAATACATTGTCTTTAAATTCTTCAGCTACCTTTTATTCAGCAGGAAGATGGATGATTAAGGTAAAAGTATACTGTCCTGTTGTTCAGGGTCAGGATTTCTCACTCGTCTCAAGGCACATGGAGTGGTGGCAGTTGGTTCAAGATACATTTGTGTAGCAGATATCTGAGGGCCTAATATTCTGGCCGGGCACTTTCACTAGGGCACTTCTTCAGAGCTATAGGCAGTACTGACAGCCCCACTTTTTTGTGGACAGAGTGGAGGAAGCAAGAGAAGAAAGTGTGCAGGACAGATAATAAATGAAAGAGAAGTGATAAACGCCACCAAGAAAATAGAGTATAATATTACAGAAAAGGACTAGAGGTACCATTGTAGTTAGTTGGCCAGAAATAGCCTCTCTAAGGAGAAAAGCATTTCAGCTGAAACCTGAGTGAGAAGGAGTCATCATTCTCGGGAAGAGTGGGTGGAGCACAGCGTTCAAGACAAAAACAAACACAGAGATGCAAAGCAGAGTAAGACCTTGTTAGTGAAGAACACACAAGGGTCTGGGGGTGAAAGTGACTTTATAGTGACTCAGTGGACATGAAAACAGTCTGTTTTGTATTCAGTGTAAAAAGGGAGGAAGGGAAGTAAGCAGAGGAGTATTGAAGTCAGGAGTAAGACACAGCGTGATTTACATTGCTGTAAATTCTTTTAGTTCCCTATTTTAAGTCTACTGCTGCCGAGTATTCCTGAAGAAAAAAGCACAAGTCTCCCCCATGGTAGCTGAGTTTGGATGCCCAAGTGAGAGAAGCGTTGACATTTGACGGGTATAAATGACTGGATTCGTTTCAGGACTTCGTGAGCCCCAGTTTGTCCAGTTTAATGGTGGATTTAGCCAAGAACAGCTGAACTGGCTGAACGAAGTTCTTACATTCTCGGACAAAAACCAAGAAAAGGTGGTGATTGTGAGTAAGTATTTAAATGATTCCGTTACACTAGCATTTTAGAGAATGCGTTTAGTCAAAGCATACTAACAATATTTAATATTGAGATGTCTCTTTTTTTATAAAATAAAAGCTCAGTTTAAAATTCTTTGTTAAGAAACAATCTGAATATAAAATTAATGTTTAAGAATTGTAAAATAAAAAGGAGAAAAACATATATTAGAGATTGTGATTTGGCCTTTTAGGTTTCAAAGTAGAATTTCCCCAAATGGGATCAATTTGTGTAGCAGTGTGTGTAAGTGAAGAATTCCAGTCAGGCCCCGGCCCATGTCTCAGCCTCAGGAATCCTCCTGGTGAGTGCAGTGGTCTCTGCTGCCCACTGAAAGCAAAGCTGGAGTCCCAGGAGACCAGTGTGAGAGGATCATCTGGCAGGGCTGCAACTAAATCCTCCATGTGGTTACAAGGAAATAAGTGTGTTGTTTTCATTTAGAGTCATTTTTCACGGCATACTGCCATCAGAGATCATAGGAATCTGGAGGTGCTTAAAGTACACTCAGATGTAATGTTTGTGGATGCTTATGCACACACACGTACACACACAAATGAACTGAATTTGGGTAGCGGGAAGTCTGGTGTACGTGGTGTGGGGGCTGAGATTAGTTCTCCTGTTTAAAATTGACATGGCAAAAAAAATAAAATAAAATTGATGGGGCCTGAAGATTGGACTGAGGGGCACGGGGATGGCACACCCTTCTGGCTCTTGTTTCTGTGACCCATGTGCTCTGGACAAATGCTCAATGTACACACTGCAGTTTTCTTATGTTGTATCAAATGAAACTATGAACATGAAGTCCTTTTGAAAGTGACAGGCTTTCAGATAATTGGTAATATAAAATTATATCCAGGGAATTCCCTGGTGGTCCAGTGGCTAGGACTTAGCGCTTTTCACTACAGAAGCCTGGGTTCTACTATCCCTGGTTGGGGAACTAAAATCCTGCAAGCCGCGTGGGGCAGCCAAAAAATAAATTATATTTCTGTAAATCAGTTTTTACTTCTACTGACATGATAAGATGATGCATGAGATGGTGTTTTATTCTTAAATTTTATTCAGAATAAAATGTTTCTAGAATATCAAATGTCATTCAAGGCTTGGAAAATTAAATAAAATTAAATAAGGTGCCCTCAAGGGTGATAGCCCTGCTGTGACACTGTTCGGCTCTGTAATAATTGGTCTCCAGAATTACTTGGGATACTTCTTGTCTCTGCTTCTTGGTTTTTGCTGCCAAAATGTACCTGTTAACTTTACCTGTACTGAATGTACAAAATGCACCTGTACTGAATGCTCTGATCTCTTTGAACCCAAAGAGATTGAACCACGTAGCTCACAGCGTGCAGCTCCTGAGACGAGCCCCCTTTGTCCTCTCTCCCTCTGTATTCCTGTTTCTTTGCCCTTCTCTCAGTGCACCTGTCTGCATTAGCTTCTGATGGGTTTCTTCCATTTTGCTGTCAGCTCAGAGGCCAGGTAAACAAACCTGTAATAACTGAGTGCCTTGAGTTTTCTTAAGCAAAGTTTAAAATGGCTAATAGACATTTTATTTTGTTTCTTCACTTTCATTTTGGCAACTCAGTGGTATTTGGCCTTCTCAAGTTTTGGCTATTCAGTTGGAACGATGGAATTGCTATTAGCGGAGATATGGAACACGGCAGCAGGAGGGGTTTCGGAGGAAGAATTCAGGAGTTCAGGTTTGAAAATATATTTCAAGTGTCAGGCGCCTCTTAGACATCAGGAGAGAGATTGAGTAAGCATTGTGGACATACTTGTCAGAAACTTGGAATCGAAGTTTGGACTGGATATCTCAATGTGAAAGTTGAAAGAATAGAGCTGATGTTTAAAATCGTAAATTATTAAGAGATCACTATGCTATTAGGTGTAGATAGTGTTGTGTATCCTGAGGACCAAGCATTCGGGCAGCCCAGAATAGGACCCAGAGAAGTAAGAATGCAGTAAAGGAGGGTGAGTATTAGAAGCTGTCAAGGTGGGGAGAAGAGTAGGGGGATGGCGGTGTTCTGGAGCCAAGTATTTCAAGGAGAAGGGAGCAACTGATTGTGTCAGACACCACTGGGGCTTGATAGATGTGTCCAGCATAACATTGGGTCTAGAAAGTCCCATGGCCTGCTTGGACTCTCAGCCCTTATCACAGCTTGAAGAGGCGTGGTGGTGATGGTGTGTGTGTGTGTCTGTGTATGTCTGTGTGCTAACCCTCTGTTACAGCCTCCCTTTTTTTTTTTTAATAGTTTTTAAGTAGAATAAAAATATTCAGAATAAAATTTCAGAATAAAAATAAATGGTAACAGAGAAAAAAGGAAAGTGATTTACTGGGACGAAGTGAAGACCACTGAGCTATAGCACCCATACTTGGGCGTGAAACCGTACCTGCTATGTGATGTGGCCTCACACGTGTCTTGGCATCAAGAATTTGAAGTTCTGCCTCTGTCTCATGGGGAAGCTAGTGTGACTGTTCCCTGTTCTAACTTAGTTTTCTCGTGTAAAGTGGCTGTGACCATCACGACCTCCTGGAAGTGTTTAAAGTGGCACAAGTCAGTTCTTTATAAAACATCGAGTATTTATATGAATGACACATAATCCATGGGCGCCTCCCTAGACTGTTCTGTTACTTAGCAGTAGCTCATTCTATGTGTGTAACACTCATATACACATAGGAAAGTTGACAAGACTGGATTCCAGTATGGCATCTGCCTGGCCGGTGGCTGCCTTTGCTGACCGCCCTGCCCAGGTCCGTCTGCCCTGGTGGTTGTGCCTCTTGAGACCCTGAGGCCATAGATATCTGATTTCTGCCTGTATAGCGGCTGCTGTCCCCTTGGGTGTGAGCCGTCTCCCCCTTTTTCATGCTCCAGAGACGTGGCTGTCGAGTATCTAGTGTTTTGCGTATGTTGGTTTTCTGTGCTCTCAGTCCAGGAAGAGTAGCAGTACATATTTTCTTTTCCCTGAGTACTCGTTGTTAGCCTCTTTTTCGTGAAAGAGGTCTTTCTTGATTGGTTCATAACTCTTCTTCTCTTAAACAGGCCATCTGCCCATTTACCCCGAGGCCTCTGACAGTGTGTGCCTGGCCTGGAATTACAGAGACGCCCTGGCAGTCATTTGGTCTCACAAGTGTGTGGTGTGCTTCTTCGCCGGCCACACTCACGACGGCGGCTACTCTGAGGACCCTTTCGGTGTGCACCACGTCAACATAGAAGGGGTTATCGAAACAGCCCCGGACAGCCAGGCCTTTGGCACCGTTCACGTCTATCCTGACAGAATGATGTTGGAAGGGGGGGGCAGAGTTCCAGACAGAACTATGAGTTACAGGAAGGAATAAGCCTTCCTTCTGTTTTTTGTCTGATTTTATTTGTTTACTTTTATAGGAAGAGACTGACTTGGCTTTGTGGTTTTGTTTGCTCCCCATTCCCCAAGCCTCAGTCTCATTATTTAGGATTCTATTTGCATAACAAATAGCCATAAATGGCTTCAATGTGTGTTAGCTCATAAGATACTCTGAAGTGTCATTTTTGGGTAATATATCCCATGCTGAAAATTGGAAAGAAGATGAATGAAAGTAGCGTGAGTAAACCAGGGAGGAGACTGAGGTGGAAGGTGGATATACTCCTCAAAACAGACACTATTTAGCCTTACCTGAGATGTTTTTTACTTTTTACAAGGAGAATGTATTCATTCACTGTGTTAGCCATGTAACTTAAAATTCACAATAAAAAAGTAAAATAAGCCCAGGTAAACTTTTTCCATTTACCCAGCTGTGTGAATGAGCTGTGGACACTTTTTGCTTATAGTACTCATCATATTTGTACTTTTATGGGTTTATGCTCCTGTTTTGTAAGCCAAAAAGATCACCAATTGCCTCACAGGTGAACGAATGGCACCTCTGTTCACACAGGTAGATGTGTGGTCTCCTTGCACACCTCCTGTGATTTCAGCCAAAGCAGGACTGTGCCTGCCATCCTGCCTGTCTGGGCCCCCAGCCGGTGCTGGGTGAGACTGTAGTAGGTAAATGAATTTACCCCTGACTCCTTTCATAGACAAGTGGGGCTTGCTAAACTGAGTTGTCATATATTCTGAGGCTTATTTGCAAAAACATTTACTCAATGGCAGATGAGGACTGTTCAAGTGTAGAGAAAGTTTGATTCGGGGCCTAAAGAAGGGGACGACAAAAGCCAGGGCTAGTCAGTGTAGTGTGTCTGCTGAGTACCAAGGTACTGTGTGTCTCCACTGGCTGCTGTGACAAATTTCCCCAAACTCGGCGGCATAAACTGTGTGTGTGTGTTCTCTGACAGTTCCAGAGGTCATAAGTCTGGAAACATCTTCACCGGGCTGAGAGTACCATGTTGTCAGGGCCAGGGACTCTGGGGGATACTCTCTTTCCTGGCCATTTCCAGTTTCTAGAGCTGCGTGGCTTGCTGTCCTTGGCTCATGACCCCACCCTCTGCAGAGACAGCCTCACAGCTTTCTCCAGTCTCTTGCTGCTTTATTGTCACGTGCCTTTCTCCTCTTCTGTCCGTGTGGTCAGGTCATCCTTTGCCTCCCTCTTAACAACAGTGATGGCATTGAGGGCTCACCCAGACAATCCCCATCTCAGGATCCTTACATCTGCAAAGTGCACATTATGATGTAAGGTAACATTCATGAGAATTGGGATCCGGTTATGTTTGAGGCCCTTTATTCACTTTACAGACTTGGCTATAATGTGCCCTCTGCACAGTGTCAAGCATTGCTTGGAGGCTGGGTACGTCCTTAATGGAATTTGAAAATAAGTCTGTTTCTTCATTTCTTGACTAATAGTTATATATACAGAAACCATGAATATGCACCATAAATGTACACTAGAACATTGAAATCCTTTATATAAGGAGACAAACTACCAGACTCATTTTCACTCTCCTGACATAGTTGGTGCTAATACTTTTTGAGTGAAATATTTCCTAAATCTCAGGAAACTCTTCACTACGGAGTTTGATGCCTGTGTATCATCAAACTATGGAGTTTGATACCATCAACTAAAAGAGTTGCATCCAGATGCTTTAAAACAGCACTGACCAACAGAAACAACATGTGAGCCACCTTGGTAATTTGAAATATTTTAGCAGTCACATTTTAAAAAGTACACAGACACATAAAATTAATTTTCATAATATAATTTTGTTTATTCCAATACATCTAATGTTATTTCAACATGTAATCAATATAAAAATATTTTACATTCTTTTTATACTAAGTTTAAAATGTAGTGTGTGTTTTATGCTTATAATCCATCCATTTGGACAATAACTTTTCATTGGAAAAACCTGGTCTGTATTTAGGTACAAAATTGACAGTTGAAGAAGTAGATTCACATATTTCAGTTGTTCCAAACAAGCTTAAACCAAGTGTTCCAAATACATGTAATCAGTTTCCTCATAATTGATGTTTGTAAATTAAAACCAAAAATTAAAACTTCTTCAGTAAGTACAATTCAAGTGCTTGATACAGCATGTGGCTTGTGGTCGCCAGATGGTGCAGCTCTGAAACGATCCCAGAGCTACTTTTGACATTCGTTAAGGATATGTGTTTAGATTTTGGTCTTACTTTTCAATTACATGGTAATTAATATTCCCTCTCTGCTTTTTGGTCCCAAATTCCTTTATTCTATCTAACTTTCCTTTCTTTCCTAGACATAGTTCACTTTGTTCACCCGAAGTCCTCATTTAATTCACGGCACCTCATTTAATTCATGGTACCAGTCCAATCTAATGATGTTAGTTCAAGGGCACAGCCCTCCTAAACTCCTATCTATCATTATCCAAACCCTGCTTCCCTCTGTTATCCTGTGCAGAGGAATTTATGTTTGGAATGCTCTCATGTTATCTACTTTAATCTTCACAATTATATAAATAAGTAGGCAGGCTGGTATTTACAGATAAAGAATTATCCAAAAGATAATTTCAGTTATCTTCGGAATTCTTTAATTCCAAAGAAAGTAGATTTATATGTTTCTCCAAGTCACATGGATAGTGATGAAGCAGAGTTGGAACTCATCTTTCTTAACTTTCTTACTACACTATGATAAAACAGAATGTCAGACCCTTCTCTTACTAGTCCCATCCAGTCCTGTGTTGTAAGTAGGCATACAAAGTTCTTAGGATTTAAAAAAAGATTCATCTCTAGTAGTAACTCAACTGAAATAAATTCCTAGGAAGTCAGCTTGTTACAACCATGTTTATAAAAAATCAAGAACTCCCATTTAGGAACAGGATTCTTCATTTAAATCACCGTCTTGCAGTGAGCTGGCCAGGAGGAGCGCATCTCCTTGTTTATATATATGTAGACCCAGGAGATAAACGGGAGAAGAGCGACTGTGGTAGCAATGGCCAGCTGAATTCTCCCACCACCTGGAGTCCTATAGACACACAAAAATGATTAGAAACAAAAATCCAATAAAAGTTACGATTTGGTTTGGTAATAAGACTGAATTTAATAAAACATCACTGCATTTTTGTACAGTTTTTAATTTTTTAAATTGAAATATAATTCTTACTTATAGTTCTTTATATGTTCCTACTGCAAATCCTTGTTTTTTTTTAATGTGTATTCTACATAGCTTTTCCCACTCACTTAATAATGTGTTGTGAGGAACTGAGGTCATTGATTAAGCAGTGTTAAAATGGATCCTCACCTAATGATTTTTAGTGTCCCGTTGAGGAAAACTTTTTCTCCTCAAGGTTTTGAAGATACTAAATTACCTTTTCTAAAAAGTTTAATCGTTTTGATTTTACATTAGATATATAATCCACCTAGAATCGATTTTTACAAAAGTTAGAGGGGTTGTTTCTCTTTTTTCTGTATCGATATTCAATTGATTCATCACTATTTATTGAAAAGATTATCCCAGAGTGCTACCACTGTCCTAAGTCAAGGGTCTATATGTACACGGAACTGTTTCTAGACTCTTTTGTTTCATTCACTTATCCTTTTGCCAGTATGGGTTTATCGTATACAGCCAAAGAATCATTATTTAGGTGTTCTTTATTTTAATATTGAGATCTTTAATTTCTCCCATAGTGTTTTATAGTTTTTATAGTTTTGCTTGTAGGGATTTTGCATATCTCTGCTGTATTTAGTCCTGGGGTGTTGATATATTGATATTATAAATGGTAACTTTTTATCATTTTCTGTTATTGCTGATTAAAAGTAAGATTTTAGTAAATTGACATAGTATCCAGCAATCATGCCAAACTCACCTATTTGAAGAACATTTTAGATTTTTAAAGAATTTTTTACATATGCAATTAATGTCATTTGTGAATAAGGAAAATTTAATTTTTCCCTTCCAATCCTTGGGCCGTTTCTTTTTCTCTTTTGCCTTATTGTACTGGCGAGGACAAGCGCTAGAATGGTGGTGAGAAGTGGCAGCCGGGGCCACTCCTCACTCCTGATCTCAGAGGAAGTATTCAGCGGCTCACCGTTAAGGGTTATGCTTTGGTATAGCTACTCTTTAGCTCAGTGCTAAGTAAGCTGCATGCAATGCAGGAGACACGAGTTCGATCCCTGGGTCCAGAAGATCCCCTGGAGAAGGAAATAGCAACCCACTCCAGTATTTTTGCCTGGGAAGTTCCATGGACAGAGGAGCCTGGCAGACTACAGTCCACGGGTTCACAAAGTGTCAGACACGACTTAGCGACTAAACAACAACAACACTTTATCAGGGTAAGTCTGTTTTCTATGAGTTTTTTTATTATAAGTGGCTGTTGGATTTTATCAAATGTTCTTTTTGTATAGATTTTTTTTTTTCTTTCATTCTATTAATCTGGTGAAAAACATTGGTTGCTTTTCAAATGTTAAACTAACTGTATTCCTAGAAAAAACCCAGCTTGGTGGTTGGGTCATGAATTGCAGGACTTGATTTGCTAATTTGTTTAGGGTTTTTCCGTTTGTGGTCATGAATGAAATTGCTGTATAATTTCTTTTTTTCTTTCCTTTTTTTGGGTGGTAGGAGTAACATTCTTGCCAAGTTTTTGTATCCAGATTATTCTGCCCTCAACAAATAAACTGGAAAGTATTCCTTCTTTTTCTGTTCTCTGAAAGAGTTTGTTGAAAGTTGGCATTATTTCTTCTTTAAATATTAGGTAGAATTCTGCAGTTACGCCATTTAGAGTTTTCTTTTAGGAAAAGTTATCTACTCAATTTCTTTAACAGTTATAAGACCATTCTGAGTATTTCTTCCTATATCAGTTCTGACAAATTGTATTTCTCAGTGAATTTGTTCATCTACATTTTCATATTTATTGGGAAAAAGTTGTTAATAATATCTTATGATTTTTGCAGTATCTGTTACATGGGTAATAACTTTCTTTTTCTTTCCTGATTATTGGTGTTTTGTGCCTTCCTTTCCTTGTTCTCACTCTAATTATTTTTACCTTTTTTAGTCTTGCCAGGGTTTATCAATATTATTAATCATTTCAGAGAATGAAATGTTGATTTTTTTTATTTTATTGGTTTCTGCTTTTGTGTTTATTTCCTCATTATTTCTTTGGGCTTATTTTACTGTTATTTTCCTTCTTTAACTGGAGAATTCTTAACTTCTTGGAAGTTTAGCTCATTGATTTTTCAGCCTTTTTTTTTCTTATACATGTATTTAAGGCTATAAATTCCCCCATAAGCATGCTTTTTAGCCCCCATCCCACAAATTTTATTATGTCATGTTTTCTTTATCATTTAGTTCAAAATATTTTCTAATTTTCATTGTGATTTCTTCCAGATGTTCTTTGGAAGTATATTTCCTGATTTTCAAACATACAGTGGTTATATAATTATTATTTTTGTTAATGATTTCTAGCTTAATTGCACTGTGGTCAGAGGACATACTCCATATTACAGTTCTTTGAAATTTGTTGGGACTTATTTCATGCTCAACATGAAGTCTTTTTGTAAATATTCAATGTTTACTTGAAAAGAATGTGAATTCTGCTCTTCTTGGTGCTAGTGTTCTATATATGTCCATTAGGTCAAGTTTTTTATTGTGTAGCTAGTCTTCTATATCTTTACTGATTTTTAAAATCTTCTTGTTCTGTTAGTAACTGGAAAAAGCATATTAAAGTCTCCCAAAATGATTGTTAATTTTTCAGTTTTTCTTTTTTGGCTTGTCAGTATTTATTTTATATATTTTGAGGCTACGTTAATTATATATGCTTTTTATTAATAAGTGGTGTTGAGATCACCAGAGAGCTGAAGGGAAAAAAAGATAATATTGCATCCATTCTTTTTGCCATTATACTAGGATAAATTCTAAATAGGTCAAAGATTTAAATGTAAAAATGAAACCATACATGTATTAAGAGAAAAGTTGGGTAAGTTACTTAAAACCTGAGAGGACGGAAAGTTTTCCTACCTGTGACTCCAGATCCAGAAGCAGTAAGGGAATGGATTGATCAATTTGGATACATTAAAGTATTTTTTCATGGCAAAGCATACTTTGCATGAGTAAAGTAAAAGGACAATAAAAGCAAAAAAGAATGTTCATCTTATATCACTGCTGCTGCTGCTGCTGCTAAATCGCTTCAGTTGTGTCAGACTCTGTGCGACCCCACAGATGGCAGCCAACCAGGCTCCACTGTCCCCGGGATTCTCCAGGCAAGAACACTGGAGTGGGTTGCCATTTCCTTCTCCAGTGCATGAAAGTGAAAAGTGAAAGTGAAGTTGCTCAGTTGTGTCCGACTCTTTGTGACTCCATGGACTGCAGCCTACCAGGCTCCTCCGTCCATGGAATTTTCCAGGCAAGAGTACTAGAGTGGCGTGCCATTGCCTTCTCCAATCTTATATCACAGACAGGGTTAATAGCCCTAGTATGTAAAGAGCTTCTAAAAGTAGAGAAGACCAACTGCCTTAGAAACTGGTTAAACCTACATCTCTCAGAGATGAACTAACATGTATAGAAAAAGAAATGCAGATGACTCTTAATCATACAAAAATATGCTCACCTTTGCTCCTGATAAGAGAAATGCAAGTGAAAGCTACTACCCGTTTCTCAACTATCCAATTAGTAAAACTTCAGAAATTTGACAATACACTCTCTTGGTACCGTTTTTAATATCAAGCGATTAGATACAGTCTGAACAGTAGAGGACTGGATGCATATACTGTGGACATATCAAAATAAGCAAAGTCAAAAATAAATAAATAAATAAGCAAATTCTTTATATACCACAGAATGATCTCCAGGATGTGGTAAGGGTAAAACGAAGAATACAACTGTGTATAATGTGCTACCACTTTACCTAAGACAAGCAGGAGTACCAATGAATGCATGTATTTGCTCCATTAAGAAAGCATGGAAGGATAAACCACAAAGTAGAAAAAAGTTTTACCTATAGAGAAAGGGAGGAATTAGGGTTGGGGGATAGAGAAGTTAGAGCCGTTTGAATGTCCTCTGTTTTGTAAATCTATATGTAGAACCATATAGATACTTTACATAAGTATAAAACAAAATATATTTTAAGTAAAGTATCCCTAGAAATTTAAAATGAAATAAACTATGTATTCACTTGGTGAGATTAGCATACAGAGTAACTATTCCACGTAATTTGAATGTGCATCCCTTAAAGAGATATTCCCTAACAACAACAACACAAAGTACCTATTTTCTGTAATTACATTATTATTCTGAGATTGTGTTTGTATTGTGGGATAAGTCAGATGAGTTATGTGGAGGTCTCTGAGACTAGAGATTTTTTGACATGATTAAAAGGAAATACAGATTTAAGATTGCTGACAAGTTTAAATGAAAACCTGTATTCCTGAATTTGAATTCTAGGATCAACATGAACTCATAAGGGATTTTATCTTTAACTATATATATGTAAAAATATATATACATATAGCTACTTTATATATATTTTATATACTCATATATGTATGCATATGTATACATGTAATGCATGTATGTATACATACACATGTACATATATGTGAATTTCCTAGTTCTGACCACTAAAAAGAATGAACTCAATCCAGTAGTAGTGAGCACCATTTATACCCACAATATGACCTCTAAATACTATTAGCTACCAAAAGTAATGAAGGCTTTTGGGGGAAATGGTTGATTCCAGGTCTGGGGCATAAAATGTACATCTTAGTGTGGAACATTTTGTCATACCAGAAAGCAAGGAAGCAATCAAAATTTACTAAGACCAAAAAAAGTAAAAGTTTACTAGGATCATGTTAAACAGAATTCTGGAGCCAGTGTGAATAAGTGCCACTGATCAAAGATGGAACAGCCTAAGCAACTGCCATGGACTGAAAAAACATCAAGTATGTTGAGATCTATGACTTTATAATGGTGCTGTTACATAAACAAAACTCACTGGTCACTTCTGGAAGATGCCCAGGCAAGAAAAACTCATTATTCTGAAAACTGGGCAATTAAAAGAGAATCAACTCCTTTTCCTCTTATGATTTGTATCTGAGTAGTCAAAGAATTGATAAGTAGAAGTTTTTGAAGTTTTCCAGGTAATAGTCAAGAAATTATATAATTAGAGTATCAGCATTCTGCAACTCGAATTCGTGGATTTAGGCCATGGTCATGAAGATGTTATACTAATGTTACAGAGAAACAGCGAGGTGTGATGTACGTTATGATGGAAGTACATAACACCACCCATGAGGTGGTCTTGCTTGGTGGTGGTGGTGATGGTGGTGATGAGGATAACAAGAGGAAAAGGAGAAGAAGACAACAACGATGACCAGCCTGTGCCTAAGCCTGGGATCTTACCACCAGTTTTTAGGAAATAACGGAGCACAGAGGAACAAGCATTTATCATACAGTTGTGGAAATGTAAACACTGGCTGGACAACTCAATACTGAATAATTACTGTTTTATTTTTGTGTGTGTATTGGTAGTAGAGTGGTTATTTTTTAAGTGCTTACCTTTTAGAGACACATACTGAAACATATAAAACATAAAATAATACGATGTTTGAGATTTATTTTAAAATAATCAGGATAGTGGTAGATGATACAAGATTGGATATATGATAAATGTTGAAAATGGGTGATGAGTACATCCGATTCATTATATTCATCTCTCTACTTTTGAATGTTTGGATATTTCGAAATAAAAACCCCAAAATTTTTTCATTACCAAAAAAATGTCCCCTACTCTAATGCTGACTTTAAAGTCTACTTTTTAAAATTAAAATGTTTATACAGGCTTTCATTTGGTTGGTATTCGTATACTGTGATTTTTCCATCTTTTGACTTTCAATCTTTCTGATTCTGTGTAAGAGTTCTCTTTTGTAAGCAGTGTTTGGTTGGGTTTTTAATCTTTATCCATTTTGAAGATCTTTGAATCTTTATTGGAATATTTACATTTAATGTGATTTCTCATATATTTGAATGTAATTCTCTCTCTTAACATCTGCTTCCTGTTTCTCTATCTGTTCTCTGTGTTTTTCTCTTCTCCTTTCCTGCCTTCTGTACTCCTTTTCTCTTAGTGGTTACCTCTTAGATTATTTTTCTAAGATTTTTTTTTAGATTATTTTTCTAATAATATAAGGTTTTCTCTTAGACTATTACCACGTGAATCCTTGACTTATGAAAGTCTGATATAAGTTAGTACTTTTACCCTTTTCAGATAATTCAAGGACCCCAGACTGCTTTAGCTCCATTTTTCTCCCTTCCAACTTACATGCTCAGTTGTCATGTATTTTTCTTTTTCTATTACTGTTTTAGGAAGTTAATATTCGCATACCTGCACCTCCAGTTTTATACTTATTTGCTACTCACTTTTCCTCAGTCTCCAAGCTTCCTTTGGAGATCACGTTCTCCCTGAAGAGACACCCTCCCGGACTGGCAACTCCCTGCGACGACTCAGAAAACTGTGTATTGTGGTATTCACAAAAGTATGAGTGACCGTGAAACACTGAGCCATCCATTGTTAGCTTCCCTTACAAAAAGGGAAGATTTCTCCCAAAAGATTCCTGTTTACATCTGTGTCAGTATTCTCATTCACCTGCTTGAGCACATCTGATTTTAACTGATGGGTCGAGAACTTACTTTGAAGAGCTGTGGCACAGACCCAGCCATGCTGTGATGATCACGAGACCAAACAGCTCCCTACAAAACAGCAGAGATTTCATTTGTTTTTGAAGAGGCTGCAAGTGAGATGCATATCATTCCATTTTCTCCCTGACACTTGCTTCTGCTGATTGTCTGATGACTTGCTCCAAGATACAAGCATCTACAAAATACTTTCAAGTCTGGCCATGACTCGTAAAGTACTTTTGTCAGACCCTTTAAAGCCCAATATGAAAATAAAGTTCATCTTATGAGGCAGATACGAACTTCATGATTGTTTCCCAATTTATAGATGAACAGAGAAACAACCAAAACAAAAACACAGATAAATCACTTACTTCATGTCATGGGGAAGAATACTACAGTCAAGAAGATAGTCCCAGATTTGACCAGGCACTCTCTTCATATTGTTTTAGAGGGGTCAGCGTTAGGCAGGTTGAGCTCAAATCAGTAATTCAAGCGCACATTGTAGGAGACCAGGGGATGTCTTAGAGGAGAGGAATGATTTGTCAAATGAGTCAGTCTAATGATTTGGGGGTGGGCATATGCTTCTAGAATTATTTGTTAAAAGGTCGTATCTTCTACGCAGAGTAGAATATAATTGTGTTTGGCCAAGTACCACTTGGAAGCCCCTCTTTGATTTCACTGAAAATCGTGGGCTTCAAGTAGGTGGGGGTTGATTCAAACCATCTGGTCTGCATTCCCATCCCCAACCCGATCTAGTTTCCAAAGATTAGGGCCTGTAACAGCAGCACAAAATGAGTGGGACTTAACCTACAGGACTCCCAGTCTTGGTGTTGGCAGATGTTAGCAGTGGGACAGAAAGGGAAGGAACAGGGCTCTTTGTGAGGCCAGGGAGTCAAGGGTGAGGGGAGGCAGAGGAAGAGGTGATAAAATAAGCCAGTGATGGTGACAGAGGGTGCAGAGGACAAGATGTACAAGGGCAAGGCTGGCAGACGTCCCCCTCTGAGGAGGCCGATCACACTGGTAAGTAAAGAGTTTGGCTTGTACCAGGACTGAACCCGATTGCTGACGGAGTTTTCACCTCATTAGACTGGACTGAACATTACTCTATGGCATCACTGCTCATCACAAGGGGGGGCCAAGGTCCAACTGCCTGATGGTAATATAAGGTGATGTGTAGCATGTAAATCCTGGCTCCCGCTCCATCACTGCCTCAGTTTCTTTAGCATGTAAAGGAGATAATATCTTCCCTGCCCCTCAAGGTATTGGGGGAGTTAAAGCACCACAGATAAGGTGTTGTGAAGACACAGATTTCTCAGTTCTTCCCCACCCCCTCCGAAGAGCAAAAACCACCACTCACTCACCTGCCTTCCTCCTCATGCAAGAGGTTCTGTTTCTTATGAAGCAAGAGGTTGTATGCCAAGCTGATAGCCCACAGGCCACAAAGGAATATATGTATTGCAGACACACTCTTCCAAATAAAGTTACCTAAAAACAGATATCCTGGTGCTGTTAATCATGGAACCATGCCCCAGAGAAACAAGATTTCTTTGTATTGGCTTTTAATCTGCCTTCAGGGAAAGCATACAGAAAAGGCTGGGGCTTTTTTTTTTTTTTGGTTGTTTTGATTTGCCCTCAAATCAAAAGGTTAAAACAGGTGAAAACAATATTTATAAACTTAAGTGGACATTTATTGTTTTGGTTGTTCATTATCTCCCATTCGGATGCTGACTGACCCATCTTTTCTCTGCGGACCCACCCTTCCCACACTGAGTCCCGGTGTCCCAGACAACCAGACACTAACAAGGTCAATGTATTCCATCCCTTTGGCGACAGTGATTTGTCTCAGGATGAACAGATAACCGATCAGGAGCACCAGTCCCATCCTGAGCTTTTTGCGGAGCTGTCAGGGAAGTAGATTCTAGATTCTGCTGGACCTAGCATGGTGAAGCTGTGACCTTTGAGCGGCAGGGCCTTCACGTGGAGCCCAGGGCTGAAGTGCAGCTGATGTGCAACTAAGACTGCAGAGAAGTTTAAGTTCTGAGTCACCACCAGCACCTGAAGCCAGCACCGCCCCAGCCTTTTGTAAAGGATCCCAGTACATCTCGCTTCAGCTTACAGGACATTTGAGTTGCGTATTTTTCCCTTGCTTGCAACTAATGGAGCCCTAATGGATACACCTTAAAGATGTAAACAGATTTCTAGGGGCCTGTACAAGAAGCCCGTACATCTGGGTGATGGGAGTTTTCCCCACCCAGGCGGGAATCATTTGTCTTTATTCTAAGGCCCTGAGGAATTTCCAGCCCCACTAGTAGAAGCTGATTTAAAGAAAGTGAAAAATAACCTGCAGGACTGATATTCCCCACTAATAAGAAAATGTTAGTAAACAATGTAAAAAAAATTTTTTTTTTCTGCTAGAAGACACTTTTATAGAATGAAACTGTCCAACTTAGGTTTAGTGAATTTTTAGGGCCGTAAAAGGTGAAGCAGCTATGTTTTGCCCCCTGACTGAGGTTGGTGACCTATGGCCCATACAAGCCAGCTAATCTAAGTGAATATTTTATATGTATTCTCACCTGGGATGTATGTGTAAGGAGTCCAAGGAGTAGGTTATGAAACAAAGACACGATAAAGCCTCTGTGTTATACATCCATTCACTGACTCAACAAGTGTTGGGTACATGAGTTAGACATGATCCTGCTTCTAAGGGGCCTACAGTCTAGATGGAGGAAGCATATATAGAAGTATGCAGGAAATTACTGGAGTTACTGTGATGGATTCCCTGGTAGCTCAGACGGTAAAGAATCTACCTGCAATGCAGGTGACCCAGGTTCGATCTCTGGGTCGGGAAGATCCCCTGGAGAATGAAATGGCAACCCACTCCAGTATTCTTGCCTAGAAAATCCCATGAATGGAGGAACCTGGCAGGCTACATACCATGGGGTCACAAAGAGTTGGACACAAATAAGCAACTTCATTTTCACTTTCACTGTGATGGTACACAGGGAGACTAGAAAGGGCAATATGTATTAATGAGAAATCCAGAGATTTCTATAATTACAGACACTATAGACAGTTTCTATATAATAGTAGCGAATCAGATACATAGGTATCTGATACATAGCAGTTCATTCATTTTGAATGAATTCAAAATCAGAAAAAGATGAACCAGAGTGGTACTGGGTGAAGGATTTGTATAGAGTAGATACATAATGGACATTGATCCCCACTGAGTATGGAGACAAAGTTAGCAGTTTGATTGTTGCTGATTTTCCATTAGCTTAGTGGCTTAAGAAATAAGCGCAGTGACTGAAGCCCTTCTCTCTTGGGCTACATGGCCTAACTGCTGTTCCACATCAGCATCAGAGATGCTGGGATCCAAGTGCATAAAGCCTGTCTTAGTATGGCACATCCACATCAAGTTTTCCTGAAGATGGAAGGGGATGATCTAGATTGGAATTCACCTCCTCTTAGGATCAGAAGGAAGAGGAAAGACATGGAGGGCTCCAGTTTTTTACTGGGAGTTGGGCAGACAGACTCTCATTATTAAAAGGAAATCTGATGTTTCATATCACCATTGAGAATTCAAGGTTCATACCTGTGACAAGAGGGTTAAGTCCAACAAGCAGGGTCAGAGTGGCAGGAATTGTATACACAACCTGTGAGCAGAAAGAGAGGAAATTACAGGGATAAGAAGGATGCCCAATACAGGAGATGTTCAGAGACGTTTAGGGAGTAAAGAAAGATGACACCAGTGGTGGCCCCACGTGCCATGATTTACTTCCAGCTTTTAGTAACAACCAAGGAAGTGGTAACCTCTGCTTTTACGGCACTTACCATGTCAGGATGTCATTTTATCTGACTTCTTTCTAGACTGTAGGCTCTTCCAGGAAAGACATTCATTTTCAAGCTCTAGCAGTAAGCAGAGCTCTGATCTCAAGACACAGTGACCTCCTAATCTCTCCCAAGTGACATCCATGCCTAAATGCCCTTCCCCTACTTTTCAAAAATTGCTCTATGAAAAGGAGGACCCAAGCAGCCATAATTAGCTATGTGGCCCTGCTGGGTCTAGACCCATGGACCATCCAGCCCCATACTCCATCTCTGCAAGTGAGACCACAGAAAGTTTACTAACAGTGTATAGATCACATGTGCCCAATAAGTTCAGGTTCTTCATTTCTGAAACTGGTAACTTGTTTTGGAGTTGCGAAGACTGGCCCTGAAGAGGCCTCATTCACAGCAAGTAGGCAGATTCTAGAAAAACCTATTGCTTGTGTGTCGTGGTCAGAGGACAAGCAGAGGTGGGAGGTTTATAAGAAGCATGGGGGCCTCCCAGAAATGTAGCTGTGAGCCCCATCAATCGTGATGCCTAGTTAGAAACCATTAGTTTATCTGGACGTTGTCAAGGCTCAACATTTTAAGTGATCTGCTGTCACTGTGAAAACACACCTGTCTTGACCCTGGGGAGAGATGGTATCTATATTACAGGCCATGTTCATCCCTCTCAAAGGGTCCCCAGTGATGACTGGAATATCAGCTGGTACCAACATTTGCAAGGACAACCATGCTGCTGAGGGTTAGACCAGACGTTAGGGTGCATATGAATTATCTGGAAGTCTGATTAAAATGCAGATCTGATTCCAGAGGTCTGGGGTAGGACCCAAGATTCTGCTTTTCTAATAAGCACCCAGGGGACACTGCTGCTGTTGTTCCAAGGACCACACTTAGAGCAGTAAGGGGTTAGTTAGTTCCCACCAGTAAAAAACCACATGACTTAGCAACTGAGGAAGAGACTGAGACAGACTGGCAGATAGAAATTAAACACATACACATCATACAATATTTAACTGTATTCTCCATAGGAAGTGTTTGACAGAGATTTTTAAATGTGCATTTAAGTATAACATATCTGTGATTCATAGATTAAAGGGTCTAAGATCTTCTTATTTCAATGTATTGTAAACACATGAACAGGACAAATCTTTAAGTAATAGTTTCCCATGGTAGCTGTGCCATGTTAACCCTTATTTAAATGCTTACCTCTGTTTGGAATGAGATTAAGGATTTTTTTTATTTACATGCAGAGACTGAAAGTAATTGTTTTTAGTACACAAGTAAAAACAATGCACAGTATAAACACTCAGTAATGAACTCAGCAGAATCCACATATAATGGTCTTTTATCTTTTTGTTGGTGGATTTTTTAAACTAAAGGGTATTGTAATATTTATTTACTGTATTTGGTTTAATTGAACATATAGCCACTGAGACCCATGACAGTCATTTCTAACAATGCTCTCCCCGTCTCCGTGCCACTATAAAAACTAAAAAAGCCAATTTGTTTTCTTAGCCTTTTTAGCAGTGAGGAGCCATCATGTTCCAGCAATGAAATGTAGAGAGAAGTCTTCTGGAGGCAAGGCTGATACATAGAGCCCTTAACACTCAATATGCGTGGGTACTGACCAAGCAGGATGGATCCTAGACCATAAGCCTTATTAGTAGTAATATGTACTAACTGGATAGCAGCCTGTCTGGGGAGCTTCTTGGGAAACATTTGCTCCCTGATGAAAGGGAGAAGCAGCACAGGAGGAAAACTGGTTTTGCCTCCTGCCTTGTTTCTTCCTGCTTGTGATGCTTTTGTCTAGGGATGAGATGTCTGGAGCTGCAGCAGCCATTCTGTAAACATGAAAGGATATATCACCTACCCATTGAGGTTTGGCAGAGAAACAAGAAAGCAAGCCCAGGTCCTTGATGACACTGTTGACCATTAAGTAGCTGCCTCTAGACTTCTTCTCATGAGATGGTCTGTATGTTTATAATCTGATGCTAGTCAGATATTCTGTTATTTGCTCCTATATGCATCCTGATACAAGTATACTCCATGAACAATTTGTGGTAGGGAACATGGGCATCAGTCAGGTACAGTACAAGACCCCAGGACCCAGTAACCTAATATCAGTTCATCTGTGTGTTCATTCTTCCACTCTAAGAGTCAATCTGGGAAGGATTGCCATAGGAAAGCTTTATGCTAGGTTGCCAAGCAAGAGAGGGAACTGGCCCCTGACCCCTGGAAGCTGGCATATACAGAGCCAACTCTAATGCAAAGCAGAATGAATTAGTGCTACAGTGAAGGTTCAAAGGAAGGATGCTTGGAACTTATGGGAAAGAGGTGGAGAGATTTTGTGGTGAGATAACATTTGAGATAGACCTGGACACTTAAATAGAGGCTGACACAGAAATTCTCAGGGCAAGGCACAGAAGTACTACAGGTGGACTAGTCTTCCAAGACCAAGTTGGGAAGGTAGGTTAGGGCCATATTGTGGAGGGCCAACTTAAGACATCTTGGGAAATGATGAAAGTCTCTGTCTGGAAGCAATATGTGGGAAGAATTACAGGAATGTAAGAGATTAGAGGCAGCTCAAAGAATTAGAAAGGACCCATAAGGGTCCACATGGGAGGTAATGGGGGGCTAAACTGGAGGTGAGTGAGGATGTCTGTGGGGGTCTGGTGTTGATGCTCAAATTCCATCATCCAAGCATGATGTAAAGGGTAAATGTATAGATACTGTACAGATAAGCAATTAGACCTACACTGCTTTTTGGTGGATTGCTTTGTTCTTCATTTTGTGTTTTGAGGGGCTCTCAAAGACAGTAGTAAGAAAACAGATATTAGAGATGGCTGAGGTTTTGAGCAAGGATGACTCAGAATGACTCTGCTCATAACAGAAATGGTGAGTCAGGAGGAAGAATGGGTTTTAGAAGGAAAGATGCTGAAAAGGACCTTGTGCGTATTTGAGGAGCCAGTGTGACTGACGTACTGGGGCAGGGATCTAGGAGTCTTTTGGAAATTCACCATTAAGCTGGATAGTTGGAACTGCAGGAGAAATAACATTTGGAACTAAGGACATAGACTAGAGCGCTGAGGAAGAGGCCATTTGATTTGATACTGGGACATGAGAATCTGGACAATGAGAATATCAGAATGTAGTTATATTTATATGTGATATTATATGTACTGTTATTCCAAATGCTTTCACTTGTTGCTACTTGTACAAAGTCAACATTATTTCAAAGCTTAAGATCATCTCATGGGTGATATTGTGTAGTCTTAGGTGCCTCTGTTAAAAGAAACAAAATCCAGATATTTCAGAAAATGTGTGGAACAAATCCCCCCCTCCTCTAAATGGTTTAGTCAGAGCATCAGTTCAGTGTATACTGTAGGTTTTATGGGCTTTAATTACTTTTTGTGGCTATAACTCACTGAATTAGCAGAACCACAGACCTTAAGCCTGCCATTTTCCAGTCAAATGTTTGTTGGAGTTTCTGGGTAGAAATTCATGAGGATTGATTCACACGACCCTGAGAGGTCTTCTCTGTCTTCAGAAAAGTGTTCTCAGTTGGCCTGTTTTATTCAAAGGGAATACAGCTGAAAGGCCCCTGTATCTCTGGAAAATTCTGAATTCTCAATTTGATCCTTCTCCTCCTAATGTTTTCACATTTCCCTGGTGGTTCAGACGGTAAAGAATCTGCCTACAATGCAGGAGACCCAGGTTCTATCCCTGGGTCAGGAAGATCCCCGGAAGAAGGCACTGGCCACCCATTCCAGTCTGAGGACCTACAGTGTATAGGTGGCAAAGAGTCAGATATGCTTGAGTAACAAACACTTGCACTTTTCCTCCTAATATTTTAGGAAAAGGCGCTTACTAAGGATTTGATTTCTAAACTTTTACCTACACGAAGCAGGGAGGAAGGCAAACAGACACACTGCATGTTTCGTGCAGTTCCCTGATTCTTTTAGGTATGGGAGAGCAGTCCATACTCACCATCCACAGTTCTGCATCCGGATCGTTCACCTGGAACGCCAGAACAGCAGCATTAGCCCCAGACTCTCACAGTCCTGTTCCAGTATTTTTGGTCTGCTCTTCATTCATGTCAGCCATTTGCTAAGCCGAGCAGGAGGATACATGGGAGTAAGACAGTCTAGCTGATGGGGTGTGTGTGTGTATGTGTGTAGGGGGTGTTTCTGGCTGGCCCCAGCACCTGCTTTGAACACACAGCCACACTTACTTGTAAAGAAGCGCACAGAGGCTCTGCGAAGTGTGGGCCAAGCCCAGAACGGGTGTTTAAACGACTCTCCAGTCTCAAGAAATGAGGAAAGCTATGGCGAGGGGGCCCCAGATCTTACTTGAAAGGATAATTAGCTGTGAAGGTTTTTGTTCTGCTTGCTCTCCGAGCTGTGCACAGCCTTGCCCCCGGGCTGCCTTTTTATAAAGGTCCCCGCAAAGAGACACGCACCAAACCTGCTCCTTCCAGCCAGCGAGCAAACGGGGTCATGTGACCGCATCTGTGTCTCAGCCCAGACGGGGTGGGGGTTCCCCAAACTTCAACCCTAACTCCCGCCCTCCCCGTATAGGGCCGGCTTCTGCGACCCCGCCGGTCGGTCGGTCGGTCTACACCGCAACCGGCCTGGAGTCGGAGCCCGCCGCCCCCGCCCGGCCCGGGGCGCTGACCTGCACAAAGGCCGCCAGCGCGAAGAAGGCGCCCATGAGCCAGTTGCAGGCGCGCCACAGGCCCCGCGGCCCGCGCCCCGCCGCCGGCGCCATGGTCGGGCGGACGGGCTGGGACGGGCTGGGACAGGCCGGGCCGGGCGGGGCGCGGGTCCGCAGGGCGGTGCGGCCCACCTCCGGCCCCTCCTCCCGCCCCGCCCGCTTGCTCGCCGGAAGGTCCGGGGCCACGGGCCGGCGCGCGCCAGGGCGTGGGGGACGCTGAGCGGGTTTCCCTGTGCGCCCCCATTCGTTCCTCCCCAAACGTGGGGAGGCGCGGGGGTCTGCCCATTTCACAGACGGGGAGAGTGAGTCCCAGGGCGCCCGCGTGGCCGTCCCAGCATCTCACAGCTGGTCCGTGGGGGCAGGAACTTGCCCTTGAACCCAGAGAGGTGCAACTCCCAACACCAGTTTTCACTAAGGCTGTCTTCCTCATATTTAAAAAAAAATTAGAGGAAATTAGAAGGGAGGGAGAGAGGAGCGAAGGAATGAGGGGAAAAAAAAAGGTGTGTGTGTGTATGCGTGTGAGTGCGCGCCTTCTGGTTAGTGTTTATGCATTTCTTTTCAAAGCTCGGAAACTTTCAAAGCGCTGTAAGCATTATGGTAATTTCTTAGAGTGACGACAGTGATATTAGCATCTCATACAGCTCACAGCTTTTCTAAAGACAGCCTCGTTTATCTTCATGGGCTTTTATTATCATAGGTATTTACATATTATACATATTTACAATTCTTTCCCACCACCAAAACCAACAAGATCTCCACACGTTTTGCTCATGAATTTCTTATGAACTAAAGACACTTGAAATATTCACTGTTCTCCCCTCGCTTGTTTTACGGGCCTTTTTCTGTTTGTTTGTTTTTTTTTCTGATTAGTTCTTCGTGGGGCTCATTTACACATCCATAGGCCTCATCATTTTTGCTGTTCTGAAAAGTCTTAATCCCTTCAAATCATCAGCGTGTACTCCTGTGCTCCTCTCCTTTTTGCTAAATCTCCTAAAACTCTTATAGGGTTTTTTCTTTCTTTCTCTGTTTCATTTGTTTCAAAGAATGCTTATTTCAGGAACACGGGCTGCCTGGCCCCCTTACTTAGTGTAGGGACCACAAAGGGGACTTACTGTGCGCACTCCAGGAAGGTTCGAAGACTGGATCTTTATAGAGAAAATTACAGTCAAATGAGGTCGAATGGGTGAACCCTTATCCAGTATGACCAGTATCCAGGAAGAGATATATACACAGACATATACTGAGTACATAGCGATAAGACAGCTGTCTGCAGACCAAGGAGAGAGGCCTCGGGAGAAAACAAGCCTGCTGACACCCTGATCTTGCCCTCCCAGCCTCCAGAATTATAGTCAGATAATAGATGTTTGTTGCTTCACCTCCCTAGTCTGTGGTACTTTGTTGTAGTGGTTTTGCAAAGAAATATAGGAAGTGATCACAGTACCTGCTCTGCCAGCCAAACAGAGGTATGGGAGGCAAGAAAGAGTGGTGGGCAAATGCCTTATAAACTGTCACATCCTGTACCAACACCCAGAGTTTTCTATTCTCAGTGTTGACCAGGACATTCATGGCCGTTGTATGGACATCTGTTGTTTTTGCTGGTGCAGGGTTCATCCCCCTGCTTCTAGGGTCAGCATCCCAGTTATTGGGGAGGGACCCTGTCTCCCAACCTCAGGGCACGTGTACTAGGAGGGCTGACATGAGACAAGCAGGTGACCCTTGTCTGCTGGCTGGCCCAGCCCATCCTCCTGACCGTAGCCACTGGGTCTGAGGTGGTGTGTGATTCAGATTGCCCAGATGCAGTCCTAGGACCTGTATTGGAGGGAGGATTGCCAGATAGCATACAGGGTGTTTAATTGCATTTGAATTTCAGGTCAACAAGGAATAGTTTTTATTGTAAGTGTGTCCCAAATATTTGCTAAATCCAGTAACCCTAGCTGGAGCATTAGAGAAGTGTGTTGAGCTGGTACTGTGTAAGATAGAGCTGCTGGGAGAAAGCTTTTCTGAAGTTGAGTCCAGGTGGGGGAAGCAGAGCTCAGAGATAAGGAAGGCAGGTAGGTACCTGGTAACATCAAGTGAGGCTCCGGGTCTAGTCCCACTGGGAACATCTCGCCACCCTTCAGCTTCATGAGTCAACACAGTCCCTCCTTCCATGTAAGCCTGTGTGGGTGGGGTTTTTTTAACTACTCACAACACAGAATGATGACTTTAAAATCACAATTTGACAGTTACGCCAATGCTTGAAATCCTCTAAATCTTCCTGCTGTATGTTTGTCCAGCTTTTGCAAACACAGGGAAGGGAAAGCTTAGCCTGAGAAGTCCTGAGAAATAAGTTTAAGTGACTCCAGTTTCCCAGAGAGCTCTGCTTGAGAAGTCACTCCATTTTTCCCCTTCTCATCTGTGGTGTTGCCCGCTGCAGGGAGGATGAAGTTTGGAAGGGAGCAGCGGCCTATCAGTGCTGGCTTCCCTCTGCAGAAAGGCTGGCAGGAGGGGCCTTCATGCTGTTGGACTGCCCCAGCCTGCCGGGTCAGTGACTGCGTCCGAGAGCGGGCGGGGCACTGGTGTATATGTGTGTCGTCCTTGCTTCCGGACTGTCTCACAAACTGCTGGAGGAAAGGACTGTAACTTACGTATTTTTATTCCCCTCCCACAGTACCTGGCATACCTGGATACCACTGGTATCCGACAGTGAGTGGGGGTGCCTTGAGATGTAAGGATATTGCTGAAAACTGCGTTTGATGGTGGTGGTTCAGGGTGGGTGGGGAGAGGGGCACATACTAGTTAACAGGCATTGGGCCTGCTGGCTCAGGCAGTCATCTGAGCACCTTATTTAGGCTAACTCATTTCATGTCCACAACAGATCACTTACATAGACACTGTTATTACCCCCATTGAATGGATGAAGAAACTGAGGCATAGAGTAGCCTTTGAATACACTGCTTGAGAAAGACCCCAGCTCTCTGAGCTTTAAGTCAGAACTGGACATCTCCAAGTCAGTGGGGAGGCTTCCTCTGGGTTTGTGGAAGCTGTGGGCGGAGTGGGCCCAAGGCTCTCCCACCCATGAGAGAGAAGTAGCTGCTCCTGCGGCACAGCCTGGGGAGGAGACCTTGAGACACACGTGCAGGAGGGGCCATCCCTCACGGCCTGCTTGGAGCCGTCTTCCTTGTTTCTCAGATATTTTCAAGATCAGAGAGATTTTCCACCCAGACCTTGACTTGCAGAGCCTCATTAAGCAAGGCTATATGTGGAGGGAGGGAGGTAGGTCTTTGCAGCCCCTTGTCTCCAATCCTGATTCTGATTTTCAGACCAGGCCGAGATCTGTCGGTGTCCACAAGGTGGCGAGCTTCTGCCACCAACGGCCCTGCTGGGAGGTGGGGAGGGAGGGCGGAGAGGGCCTGCGGTGCTCCCCGGACTACCTGTACTACGCGGCTGTGATGTAGCCTTTCCAGGTGGGTATGAGGTTGGTATCAGCCTGAGGTGAAGACGGACAAACAGAACTTTGTACCAGGAAGTGCTGGTCCCTGCTGGGGTGTTACTGACACAGAGCTACACTTTGCCCTGTGTCCTGGCAGAGCTCCAAACTGTTTGCCCCCCAAGATTCCAGCAAAACCAAATATGCATAAGAGGAGCCATCGCTTCTAATGCCAGAGCATTCCAAAACTAAATAATAAGGAGAATAGCTGTCATTTATTGAGTATTTTCTGTGAGCCCGGCTGCTATCCTTTCAGCTCCTTGACATCTTAGAGTCACAAATTCTACATTTCTAAACCTAAATTCTTCCTCTCATCCCACAGGACCTGCCCCCCAGCCACCCACCCCACCCCACCCCGCCACCGACTCCGGGACTGAACCTCCCGTTTAGTCACTCTTTGCATTGGTTGCCTGGGGCTGCCTTAGCAAAGGATCCATCACCAAACCGGTGGCTGCAAACCACAGACATATGTACTCTCTCAGAGTTCTGGAGACCAGGAGCTCAAATTCAAGGTGTTAGCAGGGAGCGTGTCCTTTCTGTCTCTTCCAGCTTTGGGGACCTTGTGGCCACACCAGGCCAGTCTCCACCTTTCGGGTATCTATGTCTTCTCCCCTTTGCCTCTTACAAGTAAACTTGTCCTTTAATGTGGGTCCACCCAGGTAACGCGGGATCATGTCATCTCAGTCATACCTGCAGGACCCTCTTTTTGAGTAAGGTCACATTCACAGATTCCAGAGGCTGGGACATGGACATGCCTTTTCAGGGGACCATCATTCAGCTCACCGCACTTTAGGAACCTAGGAGTTGCCCTTGACAATGAACCTAGGAATTGACACCTCCCTTCCCCTCCCACCTCATGATGTCCTCC